AATGGTTAGTAGTTTTTTGTTGATTTTATACAAGGATCAATTATATAAATTATTAATTAAATCAAATACATTAGTTATGTTGTCATTTTGGTGTATTGTTGTAGATTTTATACAGTGTTGTTATTATTTTGTGTATTTTTGAAGTGAGTGTTGTATTGGTCATAGAAGCAATCGCAGCATTGTTGTAGTGTTGTTGGTGGTTAAAAATAGAGGAAAGCAATATTTTAATTTTAATAAGGTAACGAAAGCACAGAAAGTCCAGCATAGCCAATTATTAAAACAATTAAAACCAATTTTCAGTTCATTTCAACTGAGAACTCACCTTGATGTAACTCTCTTGGCTTCGGCAAGTTAGTAACGCACGTATGTGGACACATTAATACGTTTGCGGGGTGAAGAGATCCTTCCAAAAATCGACGCCTTGCTTCACATAAATGTATGCCTCCAAGTGGGGTCTTCGGCAAATGATTCGGTGGCACTAATGCTAAGCAATATATCCCAACCTGATGAATGGAATCTACAGCTTGAAGAACACGCGACATCCATTGGAAACTTTCTTCCTCAGAGCAATCGGGCCGCTGTTCAGCAATAACACAGACGCGCTCATCGCGAAGTACTTTAATGCTAAATACTGCTATGCGTCCTCGGTAAATGAAACGCATTGGTTCCACTGCTAATACTGTGGCTATGATGTCATCCGCGTTGTGCTTTCGTCCTGTAACCGTCATAAGTCCATCCCGGGAACCGCATACGAACACTAACCCTCCAGGACCAAGAAAACCCAACAGGCCTGACCGGACGAAGTATTCATCGCCAATAGGCTTCGAAATAATGCCAAAAGTTCCAGTACCAGTACTCTCTTTCGTTTGATCAAAATCTTCCAACATGGGCTGAACTTTAAATGTAGAATTTGTCATTCCATCGAGCCCAAAGTAACTGGCGCTTGTTGAACCACTTGTAACGCATATTTCTCCAACTTGATCCGTCTTACACAGGACTGGTGCCCCCTCTGATCGTACGACTACCATTTGCGCTGCTGGCATAACTTGACCACAGTCCTGCAATGTTAGCGATGTTAGCGAGTCTTCACTATCCACTCTTACGACACCGTGTGAAAGAGCTGCCATGGAGAGTACGCCGCGTCCTGTGGCTGATTGACTAAACCCACATGACCCACGACCAGGACGACGAAGTGAAACGGTAAAAACTTCTGAACTACTTGCACATGGGCATATGGCGTCTGACCGTAAGCCTTTTGCTTGAAATACGTTCAAAAACTGATCACACGATGAAAGTGACCAGGGATTGGCTCCGTCGGCTACTAGTAGCATACGCAATGAAGATAGCGATATGTCCTTGTGATCTTTAGTAGCCAATAAGCCCCAATGCAAATCACGGCTCTTGACCAAGCAGCAGGAAGCTCTATGTTTCGTTATTAATTGCATCCAACTTGAGGGGCGCAGCTTCATCAAGGCATAAGGTATGAAAATAACATGCATACCGTTCAGAACTGAGGTCAAGACTGAGTGCCATAGACCAACTTCTCTTTTAAAATCTAGGACACAGACAACGGTTTCCCCTTCGGTGTAGTGACAGGCCATAGTCAATGCCCGGCAATGATTGATCATAGCAGCACGCGTAACAGTCACACCTACAAAACATGTGAATATGTGATAGTATATTACATTTTTATTGGAAAAAAACTGTATGCACCACTTACCCATAACACTGCCTTCCTTATCAGTGGTATATTCAATATAAGACGCTGCTGAATCATCGATGCGTAAGTTTCCAACATTGAATTCTTTAGGGGGCTTAGGCAAGTGTTCAGTTACAAACCACTGCAAGCGAGGCCAACCTTTAAGTTTTGCAATTTCGCCCGTGGTGTTTGATTTGGGTAGACCTTTCAAGCAAGCCTCCGATGTGAGCGCCACAGTTATGCCACACGAACTAAGCAAGAATCCAACCTGCTGGGGAGGTGTGTCAGAGCTGGAAAGTGGCAGCTCTATTGGCAATGGGACCAAGCCACGAAACATACAACCATACCAGGCTGTTATAAAACTGAAAGTATTCTTAGCTTTAATTATGGTCTTTGAAAAGTTCTTTGGTTACTAACCTCAATGGATCATTATTTGGAAAAACTAAAGCAACACGGTCGCCCGGCTTCAATGTTACTTGCTCGGGTCCTTTGCTAAATATCTTCGTGGACAATGCATAGGCTATCTTTTGTGCACGTGACAGCAGCTTTCCATATGTCAGGGTTGTTGTTATTTTACCATTAGGATCAAGCACCGTAGCCATGGAACATTTAAATGAATTTGTACCATAGCGCTGGAGGGCACATTCCAGAGTGCGTGGAAGCCCTGCTGGTATAGAGAGTTGCTCGCCTTGTACGGGAGTCATTGTGCTGCCTTCCGGTTTTGGTGCATTGGGATCCTTAGTATTTGCTGCAATCTCAAGCTCAATGTCGTTGTCCTCATAGAATTCGGGAAGTGGCCGACGCTTCGGTCGTTTAAGTGTGTTTAACAGTTGTTGTATTTTGGCGGAAACCTTCCATTTACCATTTGCATCTGTGTCGTTAAGTTCACTTTGGGATACATTTACATATCGTGTAACGCGGTCAGCAATGCGATGTGCATTATTAAACTGTGTTATGTCTGGAGCGTTGACTAATAAAAGAGCGGAAAATCAAATGTTTTTTGTACAGTGTTGGACTATATAAGGGGTTGGGTTTGCGGGCAGTTGACTTTAATTGACTATAAGAACAAAGGTCTCTATCTATTGTACATGCATTGGTTGGTCTGATACAAATGTATGTATATGTACTTTTCATGAAACCAAATCCCTTTTGTTGTGAATAGCACATTTCTACAAATTCTACAATTACTCACATTGCTTTTGCTTAAATGCTTTGTCCGAAAAGTCACTATCTCGCTTGTAAGCAATTGGCGGTGACTCCATACTCGATGTATCAGATGTTGGCTGCGTAAGATATGAATTTTAAATATTAAATTTTTTTTATGTTAATGCTTTTCCCCTTGTAATAACACCATTTATATACATAGCTGTATTGTTTCCTTACTGCTAGTTACAGCTACGATTAAGCCAATACTTACAACTGGGGGCAAATTTTGAGGTGGCCGTCTTTCTGCCACACTGTTCGATGATGAATACTTCTGATTTGGCGTTTGTAACTGTTTTACATCAAGTCGCAGATGTTGCTGCGAGCTCATTGATGATTCACGAATTGGTGGTTTTATTATCGGTTCGGATGGTATCATGCTATTGCTTATGTGATCACGCGGATAATTGTACTCCTTGTCAGGGGAAATAGTTTCCTCTGGTATGGATTCGTCATCTGTAGATGAGTCCAGCTCATCATTACAGCCAGGGCTGCGGTTAAGCACAGAGGTGCGTTTTGATGGCATCGGAAGACTAGGTTTTGGTCGACCTTTAAGTGCTGCTAAGGCCTGTTGTACGGCCTCCTGACGTACCTCTGCAATTTGAATTTTCGCTTATAGTAGAAATAGTTTAAGTTATTCGGTCAGACCTACCCGAATGATAACGTTTCTCATTGTGCGTTACTTTGCGCTGTGTGCGTCGCTGGCGGTGTTGACTATTATTTGATGTAGAGTGGGACTGATTCTGAAAACCGCTTGGTTCGCGGGTATTCTGATAGCCTGGATCGCCGACTGCACCACCTTGCGGGCGCATATTTTCATAACCAGGTGTCCCAGCCGCTCCGCTCTGAGCGATTGATGATGCTGTTATGGAGGAAGACTGATGAAAGTCTAACTTTTTGGAATGTCTTTGTTGTGAAGAGGAGAGAGAAGGTACTTCGGTCACATAACTATAGCCTTCACTGGAGACTATGACACCATCATTATTGATGTTTCCGTGACTGTTGCTATTGTTGGCATCTTTAACGTTGTAATATGGCGGTGGCGGCGTAATTTTTGCCTTGTCGACGCTAATAGCTGTCATAAAAGTATGCAGGAAATTACTAAATGCCACAATGTTTTAAGTCATCCCGATGTCGTACATACCTTCATTCTTTTTTAGAAACGGTTGCAATAACTTGGCTCGTTTCTTTTCATAGCCTTTTTGCGTAATGTCACCTGAAAAAAGATAAGGATATTCAACATAAGATTATGCATTTGTGCAACACATGCATTTATAATGGCTAGAAGCTTAATAAACATAAAAAAACACAAGCAATATCTTTATACTACTCTAATTGTAATCTCGACTTCTCTTAGTTATGCACATGTATATGAATGGATGTATACAAATGCCTGAGAAAATGCACTGGTGCTGATTAAATATTTAAAATCATGTTTGCACAAAATCTTGTTAGGCGTATGTATGTAAGTAGCATAAAAGTATTAAGTTGAACTATTTTTTGATTACATTAAATATTTATTGTTTTTATTGGTATATTTTTAGAGATGAAAAAATGGTTAGTTGCACAATATGAACTCAACTATTTGTATTTACTTTCATGGGCAATCAAAACAAGAAAACCAAATACATACATACAATGTAAGTACATATGTATATACGTATGTACATATGGATACATTTACATACCCTCTGAGAGTTCCAAATCCAGTTCAGCGATCTTTTCGCGAATATATCCAGGAAATGAGGAAGTAGACTCCATGTCCAAAGAATTCGAGTTCGTTGCAAACTTTTATTTCGTTCTCTTTCCAAAGGGCCTAACTTTTTAGCTGGTCGCACTACACACCCAAAATGAAACACCGCTGTTGTCAAAAATCGATCGAATTGCAATTCATTATACTACATTTTGATTCGGAAAATTAACAGAACCCGGAACTTCTGCAACTTGAACACGCAGGGTCAACACTATGTGATAGTTTTTTAAATACTTAATTATAATTTGCACAGGAAAAGTAAACAAAGAAAAAGTAGAGTAGAGTACAAAATGATTTTATGATGTGCTAGTCTAGCGAAATTTTCTGTAGAGTGACCAGTGACCAATTATCGATGCATCGAATGAAAACCATCGACACAACAAAGAAATCATTGCTGTGTTGTTTACCAAAAGGGCACCCGCCAAAAATAGTCTGCATTTATTTTATATAACTTGATTTGTTTCATTTGAAAATAGAACTACGGCGACCACAGTTTAAGTAAACAGTGAAACACGGACTGTTTGTACTCGCATTTAACACAGGATCGTATTCGATAGTTTAAAAACTAGCGTTCGGCGATAGTCTGTCTGGGCATTATTAAAAATGGGTGAGTTTAATCAAAATTTGCAATGCAACTAATTGAATTTTCTTTCTGTGTAGAGAATTCAAAGCTACAAGATGAGATAAAGTCATTGAAGGCCTTGGGTCAAATTTATGAAAATCTGTTGAAGCTGGCCGGCATTGAACTATTCGATTTTTCTAACGAAGATGCATCACTTTTAAACAAGACTGCACAATTGTATGCAGACTTGCACATTCACGAGTTAGATTTAAACTATTTGCGTGACTTCTACTATGTACTAAAGAAAGACCGCATAGAAAACAAGCTGACCATCACGCAGCAACAAACAGATCTGCAACGCATTAAGACTTCAATCGACGAAGCAGCTATGGAGGTAGCTGTGTTGGAACGGTAATCAGGATCCCGTTTATATGTCTATTGAATATCAATTAAATGAATTTCCTCGCACTCCAGATTCAAATTCAAGGCTGAAAAGAAATTGATTCCTGATGGAGCCGTTCAGCAGCAGCGCAACAATCAACTGGCTACCAAGCGGGCTTTGTTGGACAGACAGAGAGCTCTCAAAATGCCAAAAGACGTAAATATTGAGAGTATTTTACAAAAAGTTAATTCGCTGGATCATGTCGAGTGAAATGTCTAAATTTGTTTTATAAAAAATTCTTTAAATGTATTTACTCAGTAATGCAAAAACAATACATTAACACAAAATCATCAAATTTAAAGTGTATCGTGTTTCGGTTTACATATTACCAACGCATATTCTACTCATGCAAAAATTATCTTTCTTTCTGTGTGATTCTTTTTGATGGAGGATACGAAAGGTTCAATTGCTTCTAGTTTGTGTCGTATATTTATTTAAAGGATCATGTTGGGAAAAAAACTCGAAAACCAAATCGGTATCGATTTATCAGTTGCTTAAAGCATACAAAAAGTGTGTTCTTCCATGCCATTGCTCAAATGTATGTATGTATTTCCAATTTAGTATATGTTTCATATATATTGGTGTGTATAGATAGAATTAGTAATTTCATATTCTTTAAGTTGTTGCTTGTTATGTATATAAAGGGCGGGTATGTGGCAGACAAACATTTCGGCTAGCAGCGCGCTCCACGCCACAGGCCTACTCCACGTTTAAAGCCAACTCCTAGCGGAACTCGGGAGTATCGTCCTGTGTTATGTCTCCATACTTCCAGATGGCCAAATGGGCTGATAAAGCGGCTTCTTGTGCGGCTCTATACTGATCCACAAGATCCTTGAGCTTCCGCTCACGTCGTTTCTCTGCAAGTACAAGGCCTTCGGCAACAAGTTGCTTGCCAAAGTCAGTTTTAGTCGTTGGATCGTGTAGTGTGGCCAAATTTGGTGCTCCGGCCACCTTTAACTCCACATTAAGCTGCACTTTGTGGTTCAAAACGTCTTCAGAAAAAGCGCGTAGGGCTTCCTCCTTATCCTCGTTGTCCGCAGGCAGAGCAACTAAAGCCAAAGCGTACTCCGTAGCATATGGCTTCTCGCTACTGAAGGCAGGCGGCAATGCAGCCAAACGATTGGTGGGCAGGGTCTGAAGGAAAAAAATATATTAGCAAGCGGCAAACAAAAATACTTTGTATAAATTTGTCGCTTCTAGAAGACATATGACGAAGCAAGATTCGGGTGCCCCCAGTAACTCTGCGCACTTGCCTCACATGGGAGTTATTACAGCTACTGTGGACAGCGGGTGAACCAAAATATATGGAGCATCCTTTGCACCGTTGTAGAGAATTCCTCACGGCTCGGAACAGAGCACGCATTTGGCGTTACTGTAGAGTTTGGTCTACACCCTCGTGCAACAGCCACAGATCACACGCAGAAGCAATATTAATATAGCAAGCTTATGACTCATGCGTTTCACTTCGAGGCGGAAACGGATCTAAGGAGCGTGCAGTTTTTTCATATTTTATATAGTCGTATGCTTACCTCCTTATTACCGTAATCGATGTACAAAACGGTAGCGTTGCTTCCCTGAATTCGTTCCACCTTGGCGCGGTACCATTGATTGTCGAAGGTGAACTGAGCGGCCACTAGATCGCCACGTTTAGGCGTGTACGATCCAGCGATGGGAGGATTGCCTTGGAAATCAGCATGTAGCTTGCTCATTAGTGTTTCCAGCTTGGGGCCGTTTTCTACCGACTGTGCGAAGAATGTTAGAGTCTCGGTAATTTCAGTAACGATTACATTTTCATAGTTGACTTTGCGCTCTACAAAGACTTTCTCATCCTTTTCCTCTTCAACAACAACCTTCTCCTCGGGAACTTGCTCCACATAGTTGGCCCAAATGTTCTTCTTAGCCGCCTTGGCACGATCTTCGGCACTCTTCAAAAGGCGATAATATTCAGACTTTTCTGCACTAAAGTGCACTTCGGCCAGACCTTCTTCCACAAGAGCAACTGAAAGATTGGCCCCGGTATCGGTCCACAGCCAGCCAATAACTGAAGAGCCTGCCTTGTCAGTGGTATCAATATGTACGGAAACGTCACGCTGCAAAACACGCTCGCGCGTAAAGGTAAGAGCTTCGTCACCAAACGGTTCTCCTTCTTGGGCAGGTACGCCATTCAAGGCAGGGCGAGAAGAGCGCGGACAAGATATTCCTGCTAACAGGAATGTTACCAGACAGCTGTCTTTTGGCACAAAAATACGCAGACGGGAGCCGCTCGCAACAAACTCGACGATGGCTTCAGATTGAAGTGCACGCTGCCACGAAGGCAAGTACTGAACCTTGATTCGGGAATGGTCAACAGTCAGATCGTTAACACGCAATGTAGCGTTGTCCTTCTTGGCGTGCAGTCCCTTCAGTCCCTTGATAGCTTGCTGCTCAGCAGCAATAAGTTGATCGTAGGCGGAAGATCTCTGATCATCATCTTGGCGATAACGTACACATGTAGCCAAGCCCTTTGCCACCATAGCTTCAGCCACATTTTGACCGCCAATTAAAACTGTGTAACAGTACTTCTCAGGGAAATTTTCGCGAGGCGGCGAGATATAATCCAGATTACACTGCACTTTCTTGTTAATCAGTTTCTTGCGCAGGAATTCTCGTGCATCGAACATGTGCGGAATCTCATAGAGTGGACGGTAGTTCTTTCCACGCGGTGGTGCCTTCACAATTTCTTCGCCATCCGTGCCCACTACGGCACGTTGGTCACGTGGTGGTCTTATTGACGAAAAGAACACCTTTTTAACGTGGCCATTCGTAAGACGCACATTGACAGCATCGCCATTAAATACTTCAATTACAGTGCCTCCAAAGTCTTTTTCCTTTGAATTAAAAGCGGGTGTTTTTGCTTGATAGTCTTGCCACTGACGAAGGCGTTTTTCCTTGGCAACACGTTCCGCAGCCCGTAGCTTATCCGCACCTGGAAATGAAAGAAACAAAGATATTGAGTTAAAATATTGAAAAATATTTTAATAAAAATCGATGCATATTTGAAACTGTGGATGTCGGCGGGGTGAAATGAACACATAGGCAATTTGAATCTGCCACAACATTCTTGGAGTCCGTCATTTATGTAGCAACCGAGTGCTCAGAAGAGCAGCACATCGCAAGGTTATGTACCAATTAGATGCTGCGCTCTGCAAACGAACTGCCTATGAAAACTGTTGGTTGGATTTTAAACTCACCTGTCTTCATTACCGCCATGGACCAGTCTACGCACTTTGCTAATCCTTCACGCAACAACGACTCTGCAATGTTACCCTTCGGATATAGAATCGATCCAATGAAGTTAGAGTTGTTAACCGATTCCAGTCGGATTTCAACATCACGTTGCAAAAGACGTGTCTCTACGTAGTAACGCGCTTCATCTGCGAACGGCACCTTGACGCTAAGGTCGGGCTTGCCATCTGCATCCAGCTTTACTCCCGGGCAACGAATTCCAGATATCATGAGAGTTATATAATGAAAATCGGGCAGCAGAAATGCGCGCACAGTTGAACCATCTCGCACGTGCTCGATGATGGCCTTTACAGGTTTTCCTCCATAAACATCAACAATATGGGCAGGATTCTCGTGAGCCCACTTGATGTTACGAACCTTCTCTACGGCGTTCACATTATGCGACCACTTACCACGGCCAGCGGCACGTGCTTGGTCTTCCAGCTCAATTAAAGTTTGTTGCTCAGGTGTAGGACGTCCTTCGCGGCGGACAGATACCAAACCCTCGCGCACAATCGACTCGACCACATTTTCGCCAGTTTCCTTTTCCTTACCAATCCATACAAAGCCATACTCCCGGTTGGAATTGGCGGGCTTGTCAAAAGTAAATGTCACTTCAACGCCAATCAACTTCTTACGCAGAAACTCCCTTGACTCCCAGGCCCAAGGTTCGTCTTTAGTCTCGTCACCGCCAGCACCAGGACGACGAGCTAGTTTTGGTGCTAGGACATGTGAGAAGGTAATTTGTTTCTCCGGAGGTGGGGCACCCTTAGTGGCGCGTATTACTAATGTGTCGCCAGAGAGCACCTAAAAAATAGAGCGTTGGTTTTACAAACAAACTGGAACGGAACTGAAGTGAGGTTAAAATGACACATGCACATGTCAATAGTGGTGGAATTAATATTTTTTGACACTATCAGATGCTATCGTTTATAACCAATTGCTCCATCCCCTTAATCAAGATGCTATCGATATTTTTTGTATTTATTTGAATATTATTAACAAGTTTTTAAAGACAATACCCCCCAAAATCCGGAGAAAAAAATCTTTTACCGCTCTCTGGCGTTTAATCAAACCCATCGAGTTAACTTTTCGTTGATATGAAGGTGCATGTATTGGGTATATGTACTTGCAGAGCACGTGCGATTTTGACAAACTATGAAATACCGCCTGGCGCTAGCATATTAATTAATTAATCGAATATTAATCGCCTATTAATAATATATTCTTATACCTCGTTTTCAATTACGTTTAAATGCTAAAAAGCTCAACAGGTTTTGCTGTTGAAACGTATGGGTGCCAACGTCACACCGTCCGATTCTCCTACTTTCTATAAACTGATCGGTAGATAATTGTTATCATTACCTACATACACCAGGACAAAGGTGCACAGAGTGTTTTCAATGTACGAAACTGTAATAGGGCCTAACGCCAGTGGTCAGTTGAGACAATAATGTCGAAAAGAGAAAGTTAGGAGCATGCATACCAAAGAAATTATATTTATTTAATTTGTATACATACATATGCACATGAATGTAAAAGTATATTGGAACAAAGTACTTCTTATGTACATACATATATGCATATGTATTCGCCGAAGAGGTTAGGAACGAAAAAACTGACAGACAATGAGTATAACTTTTTATAAAACAGAAAAAAGCCTATATTTTATGTATGTAATTGTCAACCCTTGCAAACTCAAAAATGCACTTCAGAATAAACAGCAAAATTAAAAAGTGTTCCGAAACACCGGCGAATCGCGTTGATGACGTTGCCAGTGACCACAATAACAACCTCTTAGGCACATACATACATATATACATATGTATATGCATACGAAAACTAGCACCGCACCGAAGAAAATCTGCCAGGTTGGCACCTTCGATAACTTTCATTTCTTCTTTCGTTTGGACAAGCGTGTGCAACGTGTCACTCACACATTCAATACGCACGTCTCTTTCGCACTTGTCAGAGCTGCACTCGGTAATTTTAACAAGCGGCCGCATTTGCCACGCTGATGACAGATAATACATTTAATGCCCCTTCCAAAGTGCAAGGAAATTTCCTAATGCTGCATCCACGTACAGCCTGATTCCGCCCCAACTCCCGTTTATTCAAATGAACTTACTTGTTTCACAATTCCGGACAACGTCTTTGCTGGGGCTGGAGGCACACCATCTTTCGGTGCTCCGGCAGCTGTCGTCACGGTGTTCGCTGCTGTTGCCATTTTACGTAGAAATGCGGGTGAGGTTTTTTCCCAAAAGGCCCTTACACAAGGCTTTAATAAGCGGATTTTATTTGTCACGTTTGAACACTGACTGCTTCTAACTTAATTAAGTTAAGTTATTTGAGCAAGGAGGAGCCGAATTTTCACAACTGTGGTCGTGCTGAGGAAGTTGATACATCGATATGATTTCTACATGGTTGGAGTAGCACAACGAGGTGAGTCCATTTTCGGCGATGTCAAACAGACGAGTTTATCGATACAACATTCAAGGAAGTTGCAGGGTGAGTTAGCTAGAGAGGGATGGGATCAAAATCAAACATTCCGTGCCGCGCGGGAGCACGACACATATCTAAATAAGAAAAGTAATGAGTCGTGCAAACAAATTGTTTGGCGATAAAGCCTTTGAATTGCTAAAGGACCTCGAAAGGTCCTCTCAAAGCATTCCAGCTTTTGATGACGACGGAGTGCGCCAAGTACTTGAGGAGATAAAGGCTATTTTCGAGGAGAACGTCGCTCAGGCATCCAGCTACACCTCAGGCGATCGGAGTTTGTGGCCGCTGTTAAATTATAGGCATGCGGCGTTGCAGCGGAACAAACGTTGTTTGCTGGCTTACTTGTACGAGCGAAGTAAACGCATTAAAGCGCTACGCTGGGAATTTGGACCAATTATACCTAGTGATATTAAGCAGGCCCTGTGCGAGCCAGAGGTACAGTTTTTTAACAACTACTCCAAATCGTTGGCGGCTTACATGTGCATCGCTGGCTGCAGCCAGGGCCACGGTATAGATCTGACAAATAATCTACGCCCTCCCAAATCTCTGTACATTGAGGTGCGCTGCATGGAGGACTATGGAAAATTTGAACTGGATGATGGAGAGTTAATCCACTTGAAGAAGAACAGTCAACACTATTTGCCGCGGGCCCAGGTGGAGTCTCTTGTGCGGCAGGGCATACTGCAGCACATAGCTTAATAATAAAGACTAATTTATTTAAAAACATTGAATAAATAATAAATGTTTTTATAGATCCGTGTATATCATATTTGACTTCAGATAATTCCTATCGATTAATCGTGTGGAAACATCGATTGGGGTCTCTGTCAGCTGTTCGCCGGTCTTACGTGACGCCCTTTTGATTTTGCTAGAATTTAAATTATTGATAAAAATGAATCAAGCAGATGTAACTAAATTGATGTCGCAATTGCGGATCGCAGTGCGGCCCAATCAGCGTAACTTGAAAAATGCGGATGGTCCTGAGGGGCGCCTGCTAAAGCTACGTAAAACTATTACCGCTTTGATGAAGCATGAGCGTATTGAACTTTGCTTCAATCGAGCCGATGAAGCTCGTGGTTATGCCGAACTGGTGCGTATAATTTCGAATGGCTATCAATTCAGCTTAATACATCCCATTCCGATTCCAAAACAGTTAATTTCCAATGCCATGCGACATGGCGACCGTCATAAGGCCACTATGGAACTAGCTGATTATTGGCTCCTGGAGAAACAGCTGGTCCATAAGCTGTTTAAAGTACTAGTTCCTCGCTACGAAAACTACAACGTATCTTATACTCGAATGTACAAAGCTCCTCGGGATTATCCAGGAATGTACTACAGACAGTCGGTGCTAGAGCTTCGTGGCAATCCTTACCCTTCCCTATTAATGGATCAATCACAGAACCGTAATCTGCTGCACAACGTGCTCCTTGATGAGGCCAGGAAAGAGTTTAGACGTAAAAAATTAGCTGACATAGTTAACTAGGAATTCAAATACTTTCTGTGTTGCAACTCTGATCGCTTATTTTTAAGACTTGAAAACAAATTTATTATAAATGTATATTCATATATAAGATTAACGAACCAGATAAATTTGGCCCTTAAAAACTGGATAAATTTGATTTGTAAAATCTTTGGAACACATCCTTTATACAAACATATGTGTATGTTTACAAAATATCCTGATAAAGCTTTCTGACATTGCAGTGGCTTAAGTAGTCCGATTTCCAATCTTAAGAGTGCAGAAATAGGTTAGCAGTCTTTTTAGTTGTCCGATTTCGAAACTTGATACTTACCCTTACCGGTTAGACAGATGTCGCGAACCATTTCGCACTGGCTGTAGAAAAACTGGTGCTCGTTTAAGGAGCTTGTTGCACAGATGGGCTGAAATGGATCACAGGTTTTAATGGCCTTACATGCTGGGCTGCTCTGTTTTAATGGCAAAGAGACGCACAGCGCAAACAGTATTGACACAATCGAGATCAGGAAACAAAACAATATAATTTTCATCGCGGCTTTGCCCGTCCAAATAGACATTACGCGCATCTTGTATCTTATATTATGCCTAAAACAATCGCACCATAATTAAGTAGATATCTGTTGAATTTTGTTTTTAGTCGAAGCTTCTTAAGCTTCAACAAATGTGAATGCTTTTGCTGAATTTTTATGCATATACTTGTACACTTGACCTCCGATTGCACCGAGCAAAATTTGTTTTCTGACGACACTACGAAACGTTATCCAACAACCGATAACCACTATACATGCATTCAACCGCCATCAACCTCAGGGCGTTGCCATAGAAACAAGCACAGAACATTATTACTTACCAAAGAATCAACGATAAATGTTCCCTTTACCTCTGTTTTTTCCGGGATCTTTTGTTTATGCTACTTGTGAAGTTTGTGTACTATGAATGGTTGCTTAACTGACTGGAACACCGGCTCTATTTGGTTTCCTAACGTCCCGGTGTTACGCACATGTGCATACATACATACATATGTACAAGATCTTTTATTTGTATTTTTCATGACTCATAATAAATAATTTCACCATTTCAATAAACACTTTTTATTTCCTTAAAAGAATATATAGCTTGATCTATATAATGTGTTATGTTTTCTAGATATGTGTTCCTGCAAGTTCCAAGTGTTCCTTAGTAGAATATCTAATCAAGACGATCCTGTTTAAGGTGTTACCGAAGTATAAAAATTATGCAATATGATGTGAGAATGTTGTATGCTAACAAAATCAGAGCACAAATATTCCAAGCCATCTAATAAAATCGTAAGGGCCAAAATTATGGAACGGCGGAAACGTCATTAATTTCCATGTTAAAGGTGCGGCGGCTGCCAGGACTGAGCGGCAGCTTGCCTATAAGAATATGGTTAGGTGACTTAATTACATTTGCATTATTAAGTTTTATGATGGTCGTTGGACCCCATAACACCTACATACTGACCTCAGGTTTGCTGTTAACGACGCGTCGCATTGCAATTAAAAAGGCATACGGTAGGTCTGACGTAGTGGCACAGTACATATGTATGTACATACATACATATGTTGCCCTTATTTAGCACAACATGGTGTTATGCCTTATATATATATTATGTTTCAATATACGAGCAGCAATTCCCCTCACTTACTCACCTATTGGATGATTGGAATGTTGCATTTGTCATATCGCATGGTTAGTATGTCCTCGAAAAAGAATTATATAGATATGTACATACGTACATATGTATGTAAATATATACATATTTATATATATAAACATATTTAAATATATTCATATTTATATTCAGGGCCGCCGTAAGATTTTATGACACCCGAGCGTACATGAGCCGAGGCGACCTCTGATAAATATATAAATATGGGCAGTTCCGCCAAAAGGTCTACCACGACCGAAAATTTAAAATGTAGACAAAAGCTTTTTTTTACTTGTAATACCAAAGAGAAATATTTGAAATTAAATAATCTAAAGAGATCACAGGTCTCCTTCAAAGTCCAACTTCATGCTTTGGGCAGTTTTGTTTATTTGTAAGAGCGTGTTCTCTTTACACATTAAATTTGTAAGAGTACATATTCGATTGCACTCTTATCGCAAAACTGTTGCTCCAATAACTAATAACCGTAAAATAAATGAAAGAGAGCTAGCAAATATCTATTAGCTGTAAAATTTTGATTTGCTTTTGAGCGATGTTCTAATGTAACGTAACGCCAGAAAAAGAGAATTTAGTCTTTTTGTGTCTTCGCTACTGATCAAAAGTCGATAAAAGTTAGCGACTTAACAAAGCTTCAACGTAGAACAACATTTCAACAAAAATCGCAAGGACGCTACAGCTACTACATTTTATATCAATTTTCTAAATTGTGTAACGTCACGCCAGATTGTAAGTAACTTTTATTTCTGTCTGGTTTATTATGATTTTACAATAAATTATCAGTTATACAGATGGATTCTAGCAATAACGGGAAAATTTACTCAGAGCGATACAGGAAAAAAATGAAATCGGACCTAGCGAAAAATGAGATGGTCCGTGCAAAAGCAAAAGAGAGAGCGATAAAACATAGAAAAAAATTGTTATATCAGGCAAACAAAGAACGGCTAGACATAAGAAAAGAACAAACTCGTTTGAGGGTAGAAAAATTCCGATTGAGGGAGAAGAGTAAAACTGCAGAAACAGTCATTCCCCCACTGGGTCAGCCCTACAATTGCAAGCAAACTTTTGGAAAAGCTTTCAAGAAAGTGAAAACTGCTTTGCCAGAAGACCCGCAGAAAAGAGCACATATTGTTGACTTACTATATAAAGAATATGGTTCAACATCTTTTAACAAAATCAGTTCAGGATCGAAAAAAGAAAAAGAACATGTTAAAGAATTTTATTTGCGCGACGATATTAGTATACAAGCTCCTGGTCGGAAGGACACTTTAATTGTCGATGGCGTGATAATGGCCAAGCGCTTTATGTTGTTGACGGTGAAGGAGTCCCAAGAAGGAGATTGGGACTAACTACGTTAGTAAGACGGTGTTTTACGAATTGCGACCAAAACATGTACTACTCTCATGCAAGATCCCACATAATATGTGCGTGTGTATGTATCATGCCAATTTTTCGTTTCTCCTGGAAAGCAGTGCAGAAATTATAAAAACAATATCCACAAATTTCGAAACATTCCTGAAATCTGTGTGTTGCAGCATAGTGAATAAAGAATGTATGATGAGTAATTGTAGAAATTGTACAAGGAATGTAAAAATGGATTTAGTTCCCTTAAAATACTATTCTATAATGGATGAAATAATTAAATGGAAACATTGGCGCAAAGTGGAAGACCGGATTGCTCTGACAAGCACCGAAGGTTCTCTTTCTGATCTTCTATACGAACTAGATGCTCAGCTTCCCTTTTTTAAACGTCACTTTTTTGTTAAACGTTCCCAGCAAACGTATTTTGATACCAAAAAACAATATATTCAGGCAGCAGATCTGGTTCTGCAAATTGATTTTGCAGAGAATTACAGATTAATTTTTCATAATGAGATACAGAGCGCTCACTTCAGCTACCGACAGGTTACCATTTTTACTTGCGTTGCTTGGGTAATGAGCGGTGTAAAGTCGTATGCTATAATCAGTGACAAACTCACCCACAATAAGTTCGATGTTTGCTGCTTTTTGACAAAGCTTGTGGAGATCATTAAAACAGAACACGAACAATTTAAAAATATTTATATATTCTCAGATGGAAGCAGCTCCCAATTTAAAAACAAGTATATAGCTCGAACTTTACCTGATTGGATTTTGGAGTGGAACTATTTTGCAACCTCTCACGGCAAAGGTGCGATCGATGGTGTAGGGGCAACCATAAAACGAAAAGTTTGGCAGATTACAAAAACAAAGAATATTATTTTGGACAACGCCTATTTGTTTTACATGTGTGCTCGAAACAATCTCGCAGGAATTAATTTAACATATATTTCTTCAAAACAAATAGACGAATTTTCGACTGGGCTAGCTGAAAAGTGGAAGAAGGTGAAGAAAATACCTGGCATACATGCAATGCATTATTTGTCAAGCAGCGAAGACATGCAAATAAAAGCAGCTGAAAATGCATTTTCAAATAAAACTATTATATAACAATAATTCTCTACTTCTCTACTGATCATTCGTAACCTATTACTCATACTCATAACCCATTACATATAAAATAAATTTTTTGTTATCTTGAAATAATAAATATTTTCATAGTAAAATTTAAAAAAAAATTTGTACATCTTTTAAATTTTGTTTACTTGCGTTAAGAATTCATTTAAATACATTCTAAGAAAAAAAAATTTTCAATGAAAACATGTAACGTAACGTTCGCCAGATGCCTCCGCGGATTTTTAACAAAAAAACAGAAAAAGTTTTTACATTTAATAAGTTTGAAAATTAACTCTCAATACTTCATTTATTGGCACAAAAAATGTTATACAGATAGCCCTATCCAATTCGCAGAGTTTTGCCATTTTGTACCCCAACCTCGAAAACCACTTCTGTTTTATGTAACGCACTTTTAGTCCATACTTTGGCTTATATCTTTAAAACCGTTCGCTCGATTATTTTCATTTTTTTGGTGAATATAGGTCTGACCAACGTTCATTCAACGAGGATAATTTTTTTTACAAATTTTAGCTTTTTGACTATTTTTTTCAACATTTTCTCGTACGAATGTAACGTACCGCCAGATAGGAACTGCCCATATATTATTTCGTTATTTTTTTGTGATGAAAGGTAGCAAAATTGTTGAATTTTGTAATTTTGATTTAAATATTAGAAGACAGAAAAAAAAGTCAAGCTGAGTAGCAATCTCATTTTCAGTGGATATTCTTAATATAGCCGAAGAGTTTAAAATATCTTGCGACATAGTAGGTACGACTTAAAAAGTTTCAATTTTTAAATACTTCGCTCCCCGAAAGCAACAGTTTCTGGCAAGTCAATGCAATTGTAAGTAATGTGAGAAGCCTCATTGATTTTCATGGTTTTTCATCTTGTCAAATCTTTCCGTGACAGAAGAAAGAGCCGTATCAAGCAAGTAAAAATGCAACATTTAGTTCTTAATTGATGTTCTGGTGTGAAGTTTGTAAACTTGACACTCATATTCAAATCAGGGACAGTAATCATTATAAGTTTTATTAAAAAATTATACAATATTGATTCATATTAATTTTTATTGACTTTTGAATTTTTGAATTATACTCAAAAAATAATCATTATTCTTTGAGTTTTATTTTTTCCCAAGAATAAAACTCAATTTTCCTTAGGGATAAATGAAAATATTATATTTATTCTTACTTAGTAAGACAGGACAAACCAATAAGAGAAGAAAAATTAGAAATAATGTTTCTTGAAACAAAAAATTAATAACTTTATTGAATTTTACAAAAAGGAGCTTCTGCAAGGACACCGAAGATAGGTTGCAACTCAGTTCTGATAATACCAATCTGAGGGCAGAAAACGGTCTTTCGACAATGACTTGCGATGCAGGATGAGAATGCACAACTTTGGGTAGTTGATATAAATTAGGATATTAGACCTTTTTTGTTTCCAATATGGCATAATATTAGAATTGACAAATTCGTTTTGGCGTTCACTTAAGATAAGCTCTTCGATAAGCTATTCATAAAGCTTAGATCGATTCATACATATGTACAGCTACGTGGAAGTGGAAGTAGTGCAGCACTTCACCACCTTCAGGACTGTTTTTTAAACACTTCCAGTATTCCAAATTTAGTTAATTTTCCCTCGTTTTAGAATCTCCTAACACAATTTTCTATCACCGACTTATGTTTAAAAAAATTTGGACTTTCGGCCCACTCTAATTATATATATATTTGAATGTAAATCCATCCATGTCTAAGGTTCAGCCTGGGATGGCGTTGAAACGCCACAGCATTCAGAATAAAAATAGAATCTAGCATATTTTTATATGTCGAACATGCGCAGCTCATTGATAAAAATCCTCCGACACTGCGCACTCTCTCAGTATACACTTCCGAGATGGAAACGAGCCGAAAAACGAGAGAAAGGGCTTCCTTGAGAGTATAAAATCCTGCAGGATATACATGCCGTGACTGTGGCCTTTTATGCTGCTGTCCTTATATTCTCCCATTCAGTTTCGAAGAGTCGCACAACCAGAACAGTTGATACAATCTATCGGCATCGCTATATTTCACTGTCTTTGAGCCTGGATTCTATTTGTATACGTGTGGGTGTACGTGGCACACAGTTTTGTGTGTATAACTAACGGTTAGTTATGAATTTCGTTGGTTGCGTGCGAGTGGCCAGTGCAATTTTCTATAAGAAGTTGTATTTCAAAGTATAATCAGCATAATTGTGTAGCAAATATCTTTTCACATAATTGAAATCGCAATCAATAACGAACATACTCGTATACATATATTTTAAACTAAATTTGCACTGTTTCTGTGCGACTGTGCTGTGTATCTGTGGCAAAACGGGCAGGGCAATTTTTTTTTAGACATAGAAAATACTTTAAAGCCTTCAACTTTTTCAAATTGAAATAATAACTTTGGTATTTGGGTATGCCAATACCCAGACGGAAATGTATGTATCTGTATATATGTAGTTTTTTCTCCCCTTCCGCAGGGGGAAGCAGTGAGCCTAACAGTCACACCATGAAATATAATTATAAAGCACTTTTGCTGGCAACATTTGCAACATGGTCAGCAGTATTCTGTGGCACAGTGTTTGGAACCACAGAGGGACAGGAAACGCCATTAGCTCTTCCTGTAGCTGAGCATACAACTTCTCCTTCTATACAAGGAGAAGTGTGGGAAGAAGACGACCACGAAGTGCTAATAAGGAACGAACGTGGTACAAAAAGTGATGGTAAGTGATTGGTTTCTTCTCTATGAATTTGGATAACAGCAAATCGGTAATCTAAAATAAAAGTTTATTGGCTACATTTTTCATATATTTAAGGCCTTTCATGCCGTTATGGCAAGAATCCATGGACTGAATGTGATACAAAAACCAATACGCGCTCCAGAACTTTGACATTGAAAAAGGGAGATCCGGCGTGCGATCAAACTCGCACTATTCAGAAAAAATGTAAAAAAGGTAAGTTTCTTTTATCCGTTTAAAAATTAAAGACAAAAACTCTTGATTTCAATTAAATTTGTTTCAAATTCCTGCTTGCATTGGATATGTTACCATTCGTTTCTAATTACGACAGCATGCCGCTATGAGAAAGGATCTTGGTCGGAATGCGCAACTGGACAAATGACTCGAGCCGATAAATTAAAAGCGAGCAGTGATCCCTCTTGCGAAGCAACGCGTATTATCAAGAAGAACTGCAAGCCCGGAAAGTCCAAGGATAAGAGTGCCAAGGAGCAGCGTAAAAACAAGGACAAAGGTCAGTTTTTTAAAACCATTATCCAAAGAACCAAAGTGAATCCCATTCGTGGCGTCACCATCACCTTTAGAAGTTTTATACATTTGTATGTACATACATATATCCAATGCCTGTAGTAGTGCAGCATCCATCTGTTTTCAACCTTTTCCATTCGATAATACTTCGGTTGGTGCCGAAATTCGCTTATGGTCTTTTAAAAACCATTCACAAAAATTACATATATTTCTGATCTTATTTACATGCAGCAGCTCGCAAAGGACGCGTTTAAGTGATTCATACATGATACTTTTAAAGCCCAATGTTGGTTTTTAACGGCCAGATACAGTTGTTTTAAGTTTAAATTATTTTTCAATATACATATAAAAAGTAAATGGTCATGACATAAGCTGTCTGCTATGTATACTAAATACTAACTAAATGACAGTAATTTCAATTTTAAAACATAAAACATAGTAATTTTGCGTGATTTAACATATTTATGCAACGCAGAATATAATAATATTCATTCAATACCACACATACATACCCAATTATTTAGTTTATTCTAAAAAAGAAATATACAAACCATATATATACATACAATTTTCTAAAATTATTAAAACTAAATGGGCAATTCCCATATCGGATGGAAGAATGAAAAAAATTTACTCAAGACCCTTAAATTGTCGAACAGTTTAAATTGGACACCTTTCAACAAAATTACCAAAGTTGTTCTTCGATTGAATTTTGCATAATACTAGCCGTATAAAGAAAAATAATATTTTGGTAAAATATCAGCTTCTGTATCTGATCTCAACAAAAACAGAACGGTAAAAAAAGCAAAGAAAATGAAATCAAGGACAGTAAAAAGTTCGTCATTCGCTGATATAAATTACATAAAAAATACTTAGTGTAAATATTGTAAAAAAAATCAAAGAACTTACTATATTATATGTATGTACGTCCAGTAGTGGACAGAAGTTGGTTGAGTCGGATAAGATGAGCATATTCGTCGTTTTGTGCACTGTAGACTTTGGTATTTTAAAGTAGTTTAAATCTACATAGTTTTCATTGGGTATAATTTAAAGTTATATACATACATACATATGTATGTATGTATATCCAAACAAAATATGGTAATGACAAACATTTGCTAATAACTAAACAAAACAGTAAAGTTTTACCTTTTTAGGGAGATGGTTTATCTTTTTATTAACACAATATACATATATATAACATACATACATATGTACGTACATTTTGAACGTTATCGATGACTCAATATATATAATTATATGTATGTAATTGCCTGTAAGCAGTTTTACACCATACCCAACCGTATAATTATAGCTGCAAAAAAATATCTCACATCAACTTTTGGGGCAGTTTTAAACTACTTTTGTTAATTCATGAAGAAGAACAACCAAGTAATACCCCAAAATTAAGTGGAATCGTTTACGTACGTATACATGCAGACGCATACAATATAAGAACAAAAAAAGTACTTTAATAAATACAGATATTACAAAATAAAAATTTCAATTACATTTGAACGAATTATTGTTGGGTCTTTTGCATCATGGCCTGGAGGATACGATACGCACAAGAATAGATGCAGACGAGCAGTATGGACTTATTGAAAGGGTATCGTAAAACATGATGATCTCAATCCGAATCGAAAATTATCTACGCTTAATAAATACACACACAGCATAGCAGATACGAGCTTTTAAATCGTCAACCGGAAGAGCGCACACCCATAAGTGCATACATGCATACATATGTATGTACATACATGTATATGTATGTATGTGTGTACATATTTTTAGGGGCTGAAAAGCAGAAAATAACGATTACTGAGTATTGCTGAACTCTTTCGTGTTGTTTGTTATGCAGTGTTGTAAATGCTTTCGAGTTTATTGTTACCCCGAGACAACGACCATGCGCACATCTCGCTCCGTCCAATGGAAAAATGGAAATCAGTGCCGGTGCAGTGGCGATACAGCGTTTTGCATGTACATACATATGTATGTACATACATATATAATATTCACAATGAGTTAAGTGCCGCTAACTAAGACTCCCGACAGTCGTGGAATTAATTAATAATAATCCAAAAGTTCAATTGATGTGGGGAAGATAAGGCTCCGATTTCAAACCCATCGCTGCCGTCTCTAATTTACTTCTTTGGAACACGTTGTGGGTGGGAGGAGGGGGGGGGGGGGGGGTGGTGCATTCATCAAGCAAGAGAAGAAATAAGAAGAGGAGCAGGGCAGCATCTAAGCAGATAAATATGTACATCCATATGTACATTTTTTGATTCCATTCCCTTTGAATCTGCTTTTGTTTTTGTTTTCAACAAAACTGAACCTCTCTCTTAAACCTCTCAGTAAAATCACTCGAAACTTGTTTAGAGAGAATGTCTGCTCCAACTTGCTCAAAACTGAGTACTTCGATATACAAACAAACACTTAATTGTGCCCATATAAACATGTACATACATAAAAAAATGTGTATGTGTATTTCTGTGAGGCCTGGGGTCAAAGAAAGAACTCCAATCTATTACACAATGTGTGGTCATTGTTTACATTCACTTTATATGTATGTACAATATTCTTCCATGGTGCAGATGCACCCATAAACACACAAACTGCCCTTTCATATCAAAGACATTGTGAATATTTACTTTTATGGTATTGTTTACTCATGGGCATTTTTCAGTTTCGGCCAATTAGTAGTAAAATAGGCGGTGTCATTTCCTATCAGCAATTAAATCTCTCAATCATTAAGATATATATACATATATGTACATATGTACATACATATTACGTACAAACAGTGACTGCATTTCCGACCGACGACTGCAAACGCAAGCAAGAGATACATATGTATTGCAATGTATTTGTATGTATTTTCAACTGATAATAACGAATGTATTCAATATTTATTAAAAAGTAAACACTGGACATGAACATACATGCATACGTTTGTATGTAAGTACATTCATACCTACATGCCTAGATACATATAAAAATGTTGACGACATAAGAAACCATCTCATTTCGCTCACATTTCATTGAGCGCAAGAGCGGGAGAGAGAGCACAAAAGAGACAGCGCCAACATGAGATGAGTGAAGTGAACACTCCATGAGCGCAATCGTCCATTCCAATTCAAAAATTTAATTCAATTTTCAGCTCTGATCGTGACGAAACGCGATCCATCCGCAGAGTCTCACAGTAAATATCGATTTGCCCAAGTCATTTCTAAGTTTTGGCTTAATATTTTGTGAAGTAACAACTTGTTTTTTCCGCATTTTCCAGGACAGTTTCTCCGACCATTTGGTGATTTTCATCATTCGATTTGTGATTTGTGCGCGCGCAGCATTATTTTAGCTCACCCCTTCCTGTTTTTTATCCGGAAAGACCCGTTGAGTGCGAAAGTCAGGGAAGAAAACACCAAAACCTACTGATTTTGAGACTAATTCAGATACGATTATAAATGCAACTTTGAATGACAGGTAAGAGAAATAATTCGTCCTAAAGCGATTAACATGTACATAGATATGCATTTTGTAGGTCCATACATACATACATATTTATCTGAAATTGCTGATTAAGAACGACCTAACGTCAGCACCCCTCAAATTCTGGACAGAATCCAAATTAACAATATTTGTCAGAGCTTATGCTTGTTATGTAGTCTGAATCATTTGCTTCTTGTGATGATCGTGAAACTATTATTAATCTTTAGCTTCCCCACATGACTTCCAGATGTGGTGCCCCGTCAGAATCACAGAGAGATATTTTTATTTACTCAGCTTCAAATTCGTTCCCATCGCTGTGCAGGCTTACATTCAGCTTTCAGCTGCATATTTTTATGTACATATGTACGGAAAACTATGGAAGTAAAGTTTTCAATTGATTGACTTTAAATCCGCCCCAATTTTATTTGTTCCTATTGCTTTTAATTTCAGATTTTCAAATTAAGCCATGAATCTCATAGTGACATCAGCATCCGCACTAACGGTGCTTCATTTTGTTCTTCTGATACTGGCGGATATCCCTTCATTGATTAATGGCGAAGAGGTCCCTGATGGTGTTCACTTAATTATGAAGACTCGCTCCGGCGATACACTTATCAGGGCGGCCCGTGGGGCACTGGCGGAGGAGACAGTCCATCCCGCAACTAATGTGGGCAGCCAGCGCATCAGGAACAACCGTAAATTGGAAAGATCCCAAGATAATTTGCAACAGGCAGGAGACCACAAGTCGGGCCACAAAAAGCATGCGGGCGCGGAGAATGGAAGTGGAGTCTATCAGCACCCGAAGCACAAGCAAAGTCACAAAAATAATAACAATCAGCAAAGGCAGGTAATAAAGCAACAACAGCATGGGCATCAGCCACATCAAGGGAGAAAACGGCCAGGACCAAAGGAAAAGTCTTCCGAAACAGGTGAGAAAACCCTTCAAACAGTGCTTGAATGACTGTAACCTTGAATATATATATTTGTTGCACTGCTTTGCAGCGTCCACCTGCAGGTATGTGAAGAGCGCTTGGTCAAACTGCGATGCCAAAACCAGCATGCGCACTCGAATTCTGTCTTTAAAGAAAGGGCAGCAAAACTGCCTGCCAACACGAACTATACAAAAGAAGTGCAAGAAAGGTTGGTTATAGTGCTAAGACCACAAACTAAAACTAAGATTTCAGACAATTCTGGTTATTTATTTACTCCTTATTTTACCAAGGATGTCGATATGAGAAGGGTACTTGGACACAATGTAACGCGGGACAAATGACACGAGAGGATAATTTACAGGTGCAGGGAACTGGGGGCAGCGATCAGAACTGCGATGCAGTGCGCACCGTCAACAAAAAGTGTAAAGAAATTGGAAGCGCTCTTGAAGGAAAGACCCACGGCCCGAAACGAACCACAAAGGAGCGTAAACAGAAGGAAAAAGGTAATTATCATCCTTGTTTGTGTATCAGAATAATTACCTAATAAATCAATGTTCTATGCAGGTACTCGTCGTACTTCGCTTCAGGAGTAGTGAAGGCGTGAAGTGGAGTATTATATACAAAGCAAAAAATTTTAGCATAGTTTCATAAGCGGTTTTTCTAAAAGTAAGAATATACATTTTGTAAAAACATTAAAAACATAGTTTTCATTGAAAGCTTTTAAAAAGTTGAATTTTATTTGGCTCAAAAAAATTAACTTTGCCGCGCATTTTTACGCGTGGAAAATACGTAGGACGTGCCTTTTGAAATCTTTCTGCCTGCTCGCCCGATACGATACATGTTGTCCTCCGGCGATTGCGGAAAATCAAAATTAATGACATATTGAATACCGTCGACATCCAGGCAACGCGCAGCAACATCTGTGGCCACCAGGATATTCGCACGTCCGCTTTGAAAGTTATGTACATCGGCGCAGATTTGTGGATCCAGAAAGTCAAGCAATCTGCCCGTTGTTGCAATTATAATTTCGACACCACGCTTTAGGTCGCTGGCTTGACTAGACTGAGATGCTCCTCAAAAGATATAGGTACTGCGTACAAAAGCCCTAGAGCCGAAATCATTGGATACTGTATCTGCTGGTCCAATACCTGTGTGGGAGCGAGAACCAGAGCTATAGGCCCTTTGCCACGTTGCAGCGGCTGCTGTTCATTAATATGCAGGATAGCAGGCAGAATAAAAGCGAGCGTCTTTCTTGATCTAGTTTTGGCTATACCAACCAAGCTTTGGCCAGATAGAGCTATGGGCCTGGCTTGGGCCTGGCTTGTGCCTGGATTGGCGTGGGCTCGGAGTATCGCTGACGCCGGATTTAACTCATGCTCATGAAGCACACTTCGTCAACACTGCAAGATGGCGACATAATCGGAGTTTTGTCTCAAGGGTCAAATAAAATTAATCTTTATGGGACAAAATTGGGTATTCCCGGAACGAACGTAAGTATCTCAGTTTTAAACATTTCTGTGGTAGTCTCGATGCTGTAACCTTTGGCCCCAATATTGTAATTTTGGGGTCGAACCGTTTAATTTTTTAGGAAATAGCGAATTCGTATAGAAAAAATTCACTATTTTTTTTTGTTCTTTGGGATTAGTCGATACATCGATACCAAAGACTATACAATACCAGGATGCTGCATGAGCGTCCAAAAAGCTGTTCTTTGGCGGGGTTTACTGGTAAATTACATTCCTTGGACAGAGGGACGTGCCACCGACAGTGATTCCTGGAATGGTTCGGTACAAGCTGTAGGACGATGAGGACAGCGGAATTAATTTGGTGTGTATTGAAGGACAGATTATATCACATTATAAAAGACGAGCTATAATAATTTGTATTTACTTGCAGCCAACAAGCTTTTTTATGATGACAGAAGATGGCGTTCATGTGCTTTGTTAAATCGGAGTTATTCACAAATGCAGAAGAGCAAACTCTGGAAAAAAGTACAAATTTAATTAAATTTTATTAAATAATTTCACTTTTCGTATACGTACTCGCAGGCATAATCCTTTATTCCCTTGTGCGCCTTTATATGTCCCAAGATGTCATATTTCTTTTGGTTTTATATTCGTACAGCCTTTCAAAAGTGCAGGTGTACGCATCATCAATCAATTTGTAGTCTGCTTGGACATGGACTGCATCGACAGTTGCTTCAACTTGCTTCCTCAGAATGTTAGTCCAAAAGGACTCCTCTTCGCCCAGGAATATTTCCAAAATTTCCACTACCAGACGAGTGGAGTGTGGCGCTCATCGAAATAGGTTTTTATCATCCTACTCAGCTCCACTTGTTTGGTAGGTGAGAGTTTTACCGGTTCAGCGAGAATGTTCGAGACAGCGCACAGTGGGCATAGGTTGCTTAATTATAAAGTCAATAAGAGTTCAATAAATTATTTTATACTGAAACCATTTTCAACTTTGAGTGCTCATATCTCCTAAACTAAAATTATCTTGAAAATTAGAAATTAGATTCGCTAAAGCTCTGGAAATTTTTCTATTCAATGTGTACATTTATTTTATTCATAAATTAAAACAAAGGCTAGCCTAAAAGAGAATTGTAGAAATAGTCCTACGCGTCCGTAACAAGAAGCTTCAAACGAAAATTGAACGATCATCGTCTCCTCATGCAACATCTTGGTATTGTATAGTCTTTGTCGATACGCAGTCGCCGCCATTTATACCACATTTAAAAGCATGTCCTACGTAGGCCTACTACTAATAAATTTAAGAAATCATAATTCATTTCTCGTAGAAATATCACTTGTCATGTAGTATAAAGAAATAATAGAAGAAAGAACAGGGAGCATTGATTTAGTTGTGAGTCGTAACTACACGTAAATATATTTCTCGTATCAAATATCATTCGCCAGTCGGCTGTCTAAGACTAAATTTCTTTATTTTGAAAAATAAAACGAAAAAAACTAAACTTCTGCAGGGTTTTTTTAACAAAATCTTAAATTTAGTAGTGTCTATTACTTGATGTCGCTACTTTTTGGATTTCCATTCAAAATTAAAATATAATATTGAAGTCATCAGACTGCATTTGCGGATTGCAAATGACTTTAAGAGCCATCTCAGGAATCCATTTAACACGAACTCGGTTTGGCCGAACGCCGTGGTTGTTTACTTCAGGTGTTTTGCCCACCATGGTGGACATACAGGAAATACAGACCGATGGAGCAACAGGTTCGACTACAAAGGAAAGGGGCCTGAGCCGTAAACTAATTTTTGGGATATCGATGGAACGCCATTCATCGGTGGTATATTCTGCTCATCGACGCTACTCGACCTTTGAGAAGACCCATACGGAAATTCTATCAAAACTATTTCCGCAAACCTCAGTTAAGCCAAATGATGAAGAAAGCCAGAAACGACAAAAGCGCGAAGAGGAGGAGGCAAAGGCAGAGTTTGAGCGGGCCTGGAGGCGAATGAAACTTGGGTTAAGTGCCTTTGGAATGGGCGGTTTGCTGTTCTCATTTTGGGCCATATATTTTTTTGGACAGCCAACACTCGACGAGGAGGGAAACGAGGCCGATGATGAGTTTAGCAAATTGCCGGCAATTCAACAATATATCGGACGAACCTGGAGGCAGGTGAACAAGTTTACACAGTTTATACGAGAGCCTTCGAGTCAGAAACTACTTCCAGACGAATTGCATGCGCCCTACGTGCAGCCGCCATATACATTGGTGCTCGAAGTTAAGGATGTTCTAATACACCCTGATTGGACATACAAAACAGGCTGGCGTTTCAAGAAGCGTCCTGGAGTAGACTTGTTTTTGAGTGAATGTGCCAAATACTTTGAGATCGTAGTCTACACGGCGGAACAAGGAATGACTGTATTTCCGCTCCTCGACGCCCTCGATCCAAACGGTTACATAATGTATCGTCTAGTTCGCGACTCGACACACTTTGTTGATGGCCACCACGTTAAGAATCTGGACAATCTCAATCGCGATCTGAAGCGTGTGGTAGTCGTGGACTGGGACAAGAACTCAACGAAGATGCATCCGAGAAACTCATTCTCGATACCCCGATGGTTGGGAAACGACGATGATACGACGTTGTTCGATCTGGTGTCGTTTTTGAGTGTTCTCGGCATCAGTGAGACCGAGGACGTGCGTGAGGCGCTGCAGTACTATAGCCAGTTTGAAGACCCCGTTGCCAAGTTCCGTGAAAACCAGCAAAGACTCAGCGAAAAAATGTTGGCTGAAGAGTTGGAAAAGTCTAGCAAACCACAGCCGATGGTCAAAAACTGGACTCGTCGCTTTTCCAATAATTAAAGACCTTTGAAATTAAACATTGGTTTGGCGTATACGGATTGTTTCTGGGGATCTGCTAGTGACAGCCACATTCATACACATAAAGATGTATATACATATTGTGTGTTCATATATGTACGCACGTGTGCTCAGTCCATCTCTGAGAAAAGTTCAAGCTTCGGTACCAAGTTTAAAAATGTTCCTTGAACTTGGATTTTGACTACAAGCTAGCAAGCAGCACGTCGGAGTCTCCCTCCAATGTTATTGCCATCAGAGCTGTTGAGAGCTTGGGTCCTATTTAATGGCAGTGGCGGATACACAGTCGTTGGAGTTGGATGGTGATACGTGGGGGTAGGATGCAATACAGAATACTGGACGACAGGAGTATTCAGCTGTGACCACAAAAACAGCACGCAAGCCCAGCAACATGTTGTTGGCGCCCAGTGATTGTGTGCGTGAACACGTGTCAAACAAGTGAAACGCTTGGCAAACCCTGTAGGAGACATACCATTAGGTGAGTCCTGCGCAGTACTGCTAGGAGGAGCACGTTGAGCAACAACTGTAAGGATTTTATGCCAAAATGTTGCTAAAATCTATGTGCAGAGCGGGCTTGGGCTTTTGCTGCGCACTGAGACCGAGCCATGCAATGGAAAAAAGGGGTTTTTGGGTTTCTTACTGTAACGCTTTCCAGGACATTATTTAGAAACAGAGCTTGAACACTTACTTATGCAAAAAGGCTTTTATAAACGTAAAGCCCTAACAAATAAGGTCACATAAGGGCTCACTAGAGACTACATTGCATACACTGCAGGGGCATAGGTAGCATAGCTGCAGATGTGTGTGGAAATGTCAAAACCAGGCAAAGGCAAACGCATGCGTGGGGTGCACTTGCCACGTTGTCTGACACGCTCTCCCTCGAACCATGCAAACGTCAAGGAGGAACATGATGCTGAGCATACTCGTGAGTCGTTGCAAAAGTAGCTTTGCATTGGGTGGCAGAGCCATCGGAACCAAAAGTCTCAGTTGCTAGTCAAAACTGCTGGCATCGGGAACTCGGGCCAATTTAGTTCGGTTTTGTCGTGACGGACAGAACGTTTGTGGGTCGTGTCGTACCTTGGATTTGCGGAAGGCGTACCGTACCACGGCACACAAAAAGGCACAGCGAGGATACTACAAAACGCATGACAGTGTATGTATATTCAGATATATATATGCATATGCTTATGATTGTGTATCATTAGAAAAATAAGAAAAATATATAAAATATCTTATAAATGTTGACACAGCTTAGGATCTATTTTCTTATTTTCTAAACCCTAGATTTTGCCTCCGTTTCGACTCTTAGGATGCGCAAATTCCAATTAAAGCCGAGGGAAATTCCTTCTTTATTAGACCCAGTGCATGAATGTCTTCAGTGTTCTTGTATGTTTTGTGCGGAAGCTTGTGTTAGCGATTAAAATACAGAATCAAATCCCGACGCACGCGAACCACTTTCGCCAAATAAGTTTAATTAGGTGCGGGGTCCTATCGAAGTAGATAATATGTACATATATGTGTCCGCTTTAACTCATGTCGAGGAGTTCGTTCAGGTTGAAACGCATCCTACCACTGCCACACCCTAAAAATCAAATCAGCTCGATGTTCGCTGGGGAACAACAATAATAGTATTGCAACAATGCGTTAAAAAGCAACCCTATTTTTTTTGTGTTCATTATAGCCTTGGAGAAATGGAAAATATGTTGACAGCTGAGCAGTTCCCTACTGCTTGTAGAATGGATTTTATAGATAAAAAAGGTCGCAAGAAAATGTGATTCCATAGATAAGCATTAATTTGCTTTATTAATCCTCTGATATTATTGAAAATGTGTGATGAATTGCTGCAACTTATAACTATATGTAAAAAAAAATTACCATTTATGCAGCTAATCCTGTGGAAGATACAAAGATAATCATATCGTTCCGTGCGTAGTATATGAAGAATGACAACAGAGACCTATTTGGACTTGTCTTATGAGCGAGGGAAGGGGTCAAAGAGACACCATAGACCAAAAATTTTGAAGTTATCGGATGTTACAATACCGCATCGCAGTCGCAAGAAAAGCAAAGTTAAGGTGAGTTGTAGTCAGTCGTATTTGTGGTGCATATCCCCGGCATTTTTCTTTACAATTTATTGTCAGACAAAGGACCGCTCAGCCATATTAGTGCGGGAAAGAATCTACGATGATCCCGCCTATACCGAGGACATCAGCCACTTGGCAAATCCCATTCGACGTGGCAGCGTTCCTGGAAAGCACTCCGCAGAGCACAAGTCAAAGTCTGACATTTCTGGGCAGACAGCATCGGCCAGTAGTCTGCTAAGCAGGCACCAGTTAACCAAAGATCTCCATCAGTATGTTTCGGCCAAGCAAAGCAAGTACAAAGGCGCCAACAGTGCAGGTGCGCCCTCAGGGAGTACTGCCGTTAACGTCAGTTACAATTGTGGCTCGAGCAGCTCCGACAATGCGACGCTGGAGCCAACTAAGAGCAGCAGCATGACTCGTCGCGTACGCAGCTTAGAGCGAAGTTTAGCAAAAGAGCGAACTGACAAGAAAGCAACGCAAAAGCGCAACTCCAAGCAAAAGCGGAATCTCAGTCTTGACAACAGTCGAAATTTGCTTCCGGGCCATTCCCAGCATGCGGCACAGCCCATCAAGCAGGGCTACGACTTCGAGACCCGGGCACGCAGAACGCCCGGCAGAAAGAAGTATACTGAAAGCAGCGTGGAAGCTGCCCAGACGGAAGCTAGCGAACTAGACGATGCGTATTCCGTGCGGAGCTCGGCGAAGGATTCTACGGCTACAGTACCTGTGGAGACAAACGCAATCGGCAAACGCTTCCTTCGTGGCGAAATTGGAATCAAAAGCTTCAATTACTATCTTCTAAAGGAGGGCTTAAAGAGCTCAAAAAAGCTGACAGGCAAGCAACGTAGCACGTTGCACAGTGAGGAAGCATATTCTAAATCCGAGAAAATGCACTCACGCAGCGAGGAGAACATCTATGAGGAGATTTTCTTTAAAGATACACCTAGCACCGCTACCACTTCAACTACAGCATTGGCAACCACATCCACGCCTCCACAACCACTTGGCAAAGAGGCCCACAACCATCCACAACAGGTCCAAAAAGGAGTGGAACAGGTGCTACCTCGCGTAATGAGTGGGCCTAATGGGGAAAGTGACGTTGGAGTCTTTGCGGACTGTGAGCTCTGCATGGAACAGTGTAGCAAGGATAGCTGTGAGTATTGTTTGGACCAGGCGGTGCAAGGAGCTCGAAAAAATCAGGCGCAGCCGCAGAAGCAGACCCCTCAACAAGAGCCGTTCATCAATCAGGGGTACCACGGCGAAAACAGTGATCCACAGGGCACATTGTCAAGGGGCACAGACCCGGTCGGGCTTCCCGCTGCCCATATTCTGGAGTTTCAGTCGTACAACCCCAACAACCCCGGAGTTTACAAAATCGAAACGACACCTGTAGCCATAACGGGAGACTATAATCCGATCTTGCAGTTCCAGCAATCGTCGGCCACCACATCAACTTCGACAACTACAACACCCGGCGACCAGCAGCAGCACATTCAACCGCATCAGTTGCAGCAACCGATCTACGGCGGCTACTACCATCCACTGCCGCACCAGAAGCCCCTCCATACAACTATTGTTGGCAACCCGCTGACAAGGCAGTACGCTGTTAGCGGCAGTCTCCTGCTGGCGCAAGTTGCTGGACCTGGATCAGCTCCACCTCGCCGACCACAGCAGCAGCAGCATTATATCGTCAGCTATCAGAATGGAGGACCAGTCGCAGGAGGAGCTTCCTTGCAACGCTTGAACACAAAATCCTCCTCCTCGAGCGACTCTCTTCCCCACCACAAGTACAACACAATGACTCGCATGGAAGCAAACGTTTTTTCCGCCCCGTCTACAGGGGATCTCTGTTACGCAGTCGGCGGTACGGCTCCTCTTCATCCTCTAATGTATGCTGCCAGTCGCCCCATCGGTGGATCCCAAATACTGATCGACCCATACGATCCTCCGCAGATGTACAAAAGCGATTCGAAGGCTTCCATTCTGAGCGAGTTCTCGCTCCGTAGTAGCGACAACTCGCAGCGCTACGGCCCCCATCGTGTGAGCGATTCAAGTATCTTTTCAATATACTCGAATTCGGGCCAGAGGCGCTACTTCGGGAGCTCAGAGAGTCGGTTTGGATATGATTGCCGGCGTTGTAGCTTGGACGGCATTATTGGAATGGGGTCGGGAACTGCTATGGGGGCTACTACGGCTCCTTCCGATAAATGCAGCTATTCTGACAACTGTCGCTACGAGTGCAGGAACTGCGATTGTTCTTCCAATTACTTCAGTTCCGATTTTGACGACTTGTATGGATCCATAGCTCGTGGAGGAAGCAGTGGCATACCACGCAAAACTGCGGCAGGAACGCTGCCATCCAGTTCACAAGGCGCCAGCACGGATCTGAAGGAAAAACCACCGCCGCCGTCCTTGCTACAGCAGCAGTTCTCTGCACCGCTGGACTTCAAGCAAAATAAATACGCGCAGGACTTTTTCAAACACGTAAATGACGTGAAGCGCAGTATTTATCAGTCTGAAATGCAAAGGAACAATAGCTTTGAGTCCTCCAGACGGGGACCCAGGGCCGGGGGCAATAACACCAATACAAGGTCAAGCCCCAAGCGTGCTGTCTCCCAAGAACCCATCCTGGAGCCCGTCGTGTCCACGCTGCCATTGAGCAGGGGTCGTCCGGCTGCAGGAGTCAGGCCTACACCTGCGCCTCGAACAAGTCTACAATCGCAGCCTGCACTGCCGGCCACGTCCACGCCCAGTAAGTGTCCAAAATATGTTTTCTTACCCTGATTCTAAGATAATAATCAATTTCATTCGTCAGGAGACCCTACACCCACAAAGCGTAGAGCCCAACCCAGTGGGCGGCGTGAGTATCCCTCGCTGGACCGACTCGTGGCATCTAACACGGGAACGATACCTAAAAGGCACAGCAGGACAATGGAGGAAACGGAGTCACTAAACCCGAAGTTTACGTCTAAGCCCAAAGAATCCGATGCAAAGGATTCTATGACAGGGAGCAATAGCGAAGAACAGTTTACGCCGGGCAAGAGACATCATCGATCGAGCGGCACAAAATCTCATCAAAACGTGCCTGGTCCCAGTACCCGACGAAAAGACATTCCGGCCCCTCCTCCACCGTCACCAGCAACCTATTCTGATCTGCAAGAGCTGAAAGCGAACATGGAAGGTCTACAAGATGACACAAACTCACGAAGTCTCGAAAGTGAAACTAGCGAATCGCCAGCAGTGGCAAACCCAAGCGTCAGGTCCCCCACGGGATCTCACAATGACAAGAAAACAACAAGGCAGTTGGCACCTGTCCAGTCTGCTAGATCGGTAGCTCCATTCAAAATCACAATCGCTCTAACGGATATGGATATACAAGCAGAATTTTCTACCAAAAGTCCACCAACGGTGTCGATATCAGGCCATCTAGATACAGGACCAAATACAGGTCCAGACATTAGTTTATTGGAACAGGAAGATGCCGATGTGTTTTACGATGCACGCAGCGAGGATTCTGGTGCAGGTATCCTGCCGACTGAAACCTGTCCACCACTAGCTAAGGTAAGATTCTTTAATTATTTGTTGTTAGTTTTACATAATAACCACTCTCACAGCTCAACATTTACCCCATCGAGAGATTCAGTAGTCTCCAATGGTAGGTCGCTGTCTACTTTTATACTGAGCAAACATCATAATTTAATTAAGAAAATAGGGTTGAACAAGATTTTAATTAAATGATATTCCTGTAGGGCGCGTCCGGTATGGTAACATGCTCACAGGAGGCAGCTGACGGGAAAATGGCTACAGAGAATAGCAAGGAAACAAATTACAGCGGAATGGAAAACTCTAGCAAGGATGTCAATACTTTCCTCCGAACTCACCCTATCGCAGCGGGCCTCGAACAGACGTCAAACATCTCGGGCATACAGCAAGGGAATGACATTGGTATGGCCAGCGACGATGCTGATTCCTTAAAACAAGGGGGAGGCAGAGTTCAAGAACAAATCACACCCTATGATGTTGAGAACCAAGTAGGCTTGAATACAGGCCTTCAATCCCATCAGTGGCGGTCCGAGTCCGAGATGACAGAAGTAACATTGAAAGGAAAGTGCGCGGAAAAGACAAGCAAAACAATAGACGATGAAGAAACCCCAACGAGCGCCATCGACCAACATGCTGCCGCAACATGTTTGGAGGGGCAACATACCAGTTTACCAGCAACAACAATTTTCCACGGAGTTTCAACAATCACCAACGCTGGAAACATCAGCTCTAACAACACCCCTGCACACAGCACCAGAGCCAGCAGTACCGATGTGGATGTCTATGTCGAGTTCAGTTGCACGACGGCCAACACGGACAGCCCAACGCTTACGCACAGGTACGCGATTCCATTTCTGTTTCCCGCGACCGAAAATGTATAGCTTGTATTATCAAAGAACTTGAACTTTATCCTGAACGTAGGCGTTAAAAAAAGGTTACATGCATAAGTTGACAAAGACAAACAACACTTGTTGTTCTACCAGTTTTTCGTTTCGTCGGTTTGGAGGAGCAGTCGATAGCCGTGTTTAAGCTTGTGCGCAACATGCAGTATCTTCAAATCCGCTACCCATTTTCTGTGGTCCCCCTTTCCGGTGTGTCTAAAGTTGAAGACATTGACAAGTTCATATAAGTAAAAGTGTACTCAATGCCAATCGCAAATTATCAATAACTTTGTGGGGAATTTTCAAGTGCTCTCATTAGACTGTGATTTTATTTTCATTCCATGAGAGTGAAATTATATGCGCAGCAGCTGTTGAGAGTCCCCCATTGCGTCGCATTCTGCATTAATCGTACCTTGTGATATACCCCCCATCAAAACTTTGTTTTGTTGGCTACAGAGCCGAGAGCTTGGGACAGGTGATACTGCAAGGCCGCAGCTTGTTCCTACGCACAATTTCTGATTGAGCAGCGTATGGCCACCCGGATAACAATTTCCCGAGCCCCAGGCCAATTGTTCAGTGAGCTGCAATGAATTGCAAAAGACTACAATTAAGTAATTGTGAAAGTTGCTTAAGTTGCAATAACCGATTTTATTTTTTGGCTTTGTTTGATTTTCCATACAGTTAGATCTTACCAACGACTTACAGTTAATAAATTATGAGTAAGATGCGGGGTCGTGTTCTCATTTTGTGAATAATTAGCCACCGAAACTTGGGACAGTTTCAAGATGTTGCTTTAAGATATGAGTAAAACTTGAATATATGATTTTATTTTGAGCATACACATTGTACTACCTGAGCTCCTGACATCAGACAATTCTGTTAATAGACGCTCAAAAAAGTAGGCAAGCTTTTTATTTTACCTTAGGGTACTTCGTGTCTTTCTCGAGTTTCTTGGCCGTGCTATCCTTTTCGTAAAACTTCCGCACAGTTAAGTTTGTCCGCGGTCAGTTTTTATACCCGTACTCAAAAAAGAGTTAAGGGGTATATTAGATTTGTGGTAAAAGTGGATGTGTGCAACGCAGAGAAGGAAACGTTTCCGACCCCATAAAGTATATATATTCTTGATCAGCATGAATAGCCGAGTCGAAATAGCCATGTCCGTCCGTCCGTCCGTCTGTCCGTCCGTCCGTCTGTCCGTCTGTCCGTCTTGATGAGCGCCTAGATCTCAGAGACTATAAGAGCTAGAGCAACCAAATTTTGTTTCCAGACTCATGTAATATCACACTGCTACAAGTGTATTTCAAAATTCCGCCCCGCCCCCTTTCGCCCCTACAAAGGACAAAAAAAAGGACAAATCTAAATGGTACATGTATAATCTACATGTTAGATGTAGAATAGACATAGTATATGTAGATGTAGATAGCAGATGTAGCAAAAAAATGTAAAAAGTAAAAATTTTTTTTTTTAATTCTAAAAAATTATAAGTTCAAAAATGTATATACTGACTGAGTACGGGTATAAGTAGAGTCGCGTCCCCAGAAGCGACTCACACGTTCCTTCTCGTTTCTACCTTAAATCTGGTAGTACAAGTGCTTGTTTGTAGCAAAATGTGTGATGCTGTGGACTGCGGGTCCTGTTTCCTTCTTCAATAAAATTTTGGGTAATCAATAAATTGCGGAAAAAGCTTCGCATACTGTCTCCTGCCAACGCATACTTGTTCACAAACAAATCGCACAATACAAGAGCCCCAGCATACATAAATCAATTTTGTCTTTTGTTTCGTTTTTCTGTGTGAGTATTCAATCATTTACCTATGTACATATATGTATGTATATGTATGTACATATGTTTACACCCCCATATGTGTTGTTTGTGGCTTCTGCCACGAGAACACGCAGAATAGCATAATTTTTGTGCCGCACCATTGCAATGCATTGTCTTTAAAATTCAATAGCTTCGCTTCTGGCACAGAAGCTACAGAAATTCCAATTAAATATGTGCATCCAGAGCACAGCTAATTGAAAACAAGTTCAACTTGCGAAGAGCTCCGATAAGTGAGAAAAAAAACCGGCATGACCCAAGAGACAAGATCTCTTATTGAAAAATAGTGGTTGAGTATTCGTGAAATCGCAAGCGACCTTCAAAACCTTCAAGCCATCGCCGCAGAAAATATAAAAAATGTTTGTTGGCATTTTGCAATTGAACTGTTACAAATTGCATACGAGTTTGAGTACGAGTACAGCCTACAATTGCCATTGGATGGTCCGATGATGATGAATGCGATCATAATGAACTGCGGCTTGTTGGCCTGGCCACTTACAAATATGGTATAGAAAATGTGAAACTTGTTTCCTACGGTGGTAACTTCATTTGGTCATTGGCTTTCAGTCAATGCCGTTGCTGTTTCAATTGCAGTTGCGTTGGCAGCTTGAGCTTACAGCGAGCGGAGTTACCACATCACACAACATCGAAGAAGCAGCTTCTGAGCTAGTAAAATTACTAGTCGCAGTCGAAAGTGCAAGTTGACTAACTGGTGTATGCAAGTAAATGCAATCGATTTTCTAGTACCCGTCCTCGCCTCCTCGTCCTGCTCTGCAAAAAAGATTGCAGCGGCTTAAAAAGATTGGTAAACCAGTTTTATGAAGCTCAGTCTGCCTCAGACGCAAGCGCAATGTATGGTGGAGTTTATTTGTAGCTTTGCTTGTTATATCCAAACCGGCAACCCATGCGGTTAATAGATAGGGAATTTTGTTTTAAGAAATGAGGGAAAACTTCGGAATGCATCGAATACTTAGTAGATCCATGTGCGTACTTTTTAACAGAAAAAGATAAGAAAACCTTGATTAGATCCATCATCAATAAACTTTCAAAGCAGTCCCTAAATTTCCTTGGGCTTTTTTCGGTCTACATTAAATATAAGTTTCTGTTACGGCATCTTAATGAATAATTTTGATTGGCACGCTCGCTAATGTAAGCCACACTTATTAAGTTCCTTGAGCTTAACTTAGAGTTTTATTTTGTTTTCTTTACTTGCAATAGTCTACCGTAGTCTTCGAATGCTTTTAATCACGCTAAAGGGATTGTGCAAGCTTGTACTGGACACTGTATTGCTAAAAGGAGAAGGGATACTTTAAAAATTAAATGATGGACACACGAATATAGTCATGATGGTAAAAAGAAATGGCAAGCGCAAAGCTTTCAGAAATAAAGACTCCTATTAAAACGCGTTTATGTCTGCACATGTGAGTGAAGATGTAACACTACAGGATCCAACCGTTTCGGTGGGTGGGGGGTGGGGGGGGGTTTGGTGGGGTAGGGGGGGGCGGGCCGAGCAAGGGTTGTACTTGGCGTCGGCCTGTCCTGGGGCGGGTTCGGCTGCTGGCCGCGGGGGGCGGCCCCGGGGGGGGGGCCCCCGCCCCGGGCCGGGGGCTGGTAATTAGCGGTACACTTGAGCGTATACGACTGTAAAGGCACACAACACTCACTTGTATATAAATACATACACTCACTTACTTACATACATTGCCATCACTTCCTGTTTACTCGCAGAGTCGGCAATATCCTTTCACTTACACATAAATATCTATTTATGTGTTTACACAAGTTTTTGCAGGTTTACGCATTTAAATTCAGAGTAGAGTGTGTTGAATTGGATTACGGACACTGAAACACCTGAGCATATGGGCATAATAATGTTGCCTTTTACCAGTCAACCAATGCTGAGAATACTCAAAGTTTCTTTATAGTTGATACAGATGTGATAGCAGATTGGTAGGTACCTCTCTCCTCGCCCTTTATGTTTTACGCCTAAAATTCACATAAGAAGCTTTTAATAAAAAGAGACCTGGAAAACCACAAATTGGGATACAAGTTATAACGCCTACACGTACAGAAAGAAGCAACGAACCGAATAGCTTTTTCTTTTTTTTCGTTGGGTGCTGCCCATTTTGGAGTGACAAGTTTTGAATTTGCCAAAAACGGCAATGCTGGGCACACAGCTTGTAATGGTGCCTTTTAAGTTGTCGCATCTTTTTCTTGTCTTCTTATTGTATTTTAGCCTGTTAGACGTCTAATCCACTGTTAAACTCAAACACAACATCAAAGATACATACATATCGTGAACCACCCGTAAAAGGGGAAGGAGAGTGAAAAGACGGCCATAACAGCAGGGAGCTGGAGGAATGTTTAGAAACATTTATTGTGAAGTGCCCAAGAGGTGAAGACGCTTCCGGAAATGTCAGTCTCAAGCATCCAGTCCTCGTTCTCGTATCGTTCTCATGGTCACAGACAGATTCCGATTGTCTCTTTTTGTTTCTCCAACCCCCTTCGTATACTGAACTGTCATTGACACTCCACTTCTTCATATATACATGTGTACATATGTATGCATATTGGTCAGACGCGTTAGCCTAATTCAATGTCAAGCTGTGCAGCTTATCAATAAACTTTAAATACATCTAATAATAAGATGCGTAACTCTCATACATTTCAATTGACATCTCGCTCGCTCAAGTTTGAGAGCGTACAATTCTAAAAATAGAATGCGCTTGCATGTGAGTGCATATGTGTGGTAACTTGAGCAAAACAAACAAGATTTTTTGAAACTTCTTCTTCGAAAATCTTTTTTTACTGATTGGAAAATAAAAAAATTATATTCTCTAGATTCATATTTAATTTCTTAATATTATGTATTTATTTATATCTTAAATAACTGCATAAGACCGTAAAATTATTTTACACCAACCCCAATTTCGGTAAATAAATTTCAGGCAGATCAGAAGTTTTGCCAAAACCATGAAAATTTTCTTATTTACACGACGCACGCCGAATACCCTAATGACAATTGCTAGTGTGTGAAGTCATGTATTAAATGTTTTATGAATGTATATTTACATATGTATGTACATATGGGCGTTCCTACTGGGACGTTAATTCGTACGACATGTTTGTAGCTATATTACCTCGTTGATATGGTCAGCGGGCGCCCGGGCGGGGGCGGGGCGTTTAGGGGTGTCGGCGGGGCGGGCGACGGGCCGCGTGCCGGCCGGCCCCGTCGGGTGGGGGCCGGGGGGTCCCCAGCGGGGAGGGCCCAAGCGGGCGCGCCCGTACATATATCCGCACAATATATTCATACATTCTATATTTTAAAAACAAACTGTACATAAAATATATACAAACAATATACAATTTTTTATATTGGACGGCAAGCGTCTACGAAAAGTATCATACCACCATACACAAATTCTTAAGTGAAGGGTATATTTGGACAGCGCTGTAAAAAACCGTATGCATGCAGTCACATCTAGAGTGCTTGAGAATACGTGTGCACATACATATGCAGTCGTCGGCGATACCGATGCACTATGGGGAAAATTCCAATTTTTCGGGTAATTAATAACTTTTAAACTAAGCAAGATTTTTCGATGCGGTTTTTTGATTTATGTTATGTACACCCCTAGAAACATTTTTGGAAAAAGTAGGCGTGTTACCGCCCACAAATTAAAAAAAAAATAATTTTTTTTTGTATAATATTAAAAATTGGAATATTTTTATTAATATTTATTGACTATAATACTCCTTTATACATAAAAACGAGAAGGAACGTGTGAGTCGTTTCTGGGGACACGACTCTGCTTATACCCGTACTCAGTCAGTATATACATTATTGAGCTTATAATTTTTTAGAATTTTAGAAAAAAAAAAAAAAAATTTACATTTTACATTTTTTTGCTACATCTGCTATCTACATCTCATCTACAATGTCTATTCTACATCTAACATGTAGATTGTACATGTTCCATTCATATTCTACATCTCCTCCGCTAGGGGTTGCTCGCGCACTGAACGCGGCAGCGTGTGCGAGCGAGAAGGAAAATTAGTTGCGTTGTCATGGGCGGGAGGGGGAGGGTAAGCAACTGAAAATTAATTTCTTCATTCTGGCTATAATTATGATCCGATCTGATTCAGATTCGGCAGTCTGGTAGATATGGTCATTCTCTACGATACTGCGTTTTTAGTTTTATCGTACCTTTAAAAATGTGCCTCCCACAGATTTTCGTTCTTTGTGTGGGCGGAAGGGGGCGGGGCGAAATTTTGAAATACACTTGTAGCAGTGGGATATCACATAAGTCTGGAAACCAAATTTGGTTGCCCTAGCTCTTATAGTCTCTGAGATCTAGGCGCTCAACAAGACAGACAGACGGACAGACGTACAGACAGACATGGCTAGCAGTGGGATATCACATAAGTCTGGAAACCAAATTTGGTTGCCCTAGCTCTTATAGTCTCTGAGATCTAGGCGCTCAGCAAGACAGACAGACGGACAGACAGACATGGCTATATCGACTCGGCTATTGATGCTGATCAAGAATATATATACTTTATGGGGTCGGAAACGTTTCCTTCTCTGCGTTACACACATCCACTTTTACCACAAATCTAATATACCCCTTAACTCTTTTTTGAGTACGGGTATAATAAAGTTTTACTCTTGGAAAAACTTAATTTTGATGAAATTCAGGAGCTAAAGAAACAATAGTTAATATTAATAGAAATTTTTTTAGTTTTTTCTTAATTAATCTTCGAAATCCTCAAAAGTTGGATATGGGCCTTCAATTTCACATAATAAGAGGATTTAAAAATCGATGGGAAGGGCAAGGCCTTTATGCTTGCTGCTTGAATCAACATAGAGACATTGCTCTTGAGTTTTTGATAGAGCTGCTGCTTGTTTTTTTAGCTCCTACCCCTTTAACAAGCAAGCCAACTTTGGATGACCAATTTGTCGATTATTGTTCCTATTCGAGTCGCTTTTGTATAATTTTGTTGTGCTCAATAACCAGTTTTAATGATTTTTTCAAAATATTTTTTGTTCCGCATGCATTTTTTCCATTTGGCATTCTAGTTTCGGCACACAATTTGACTTTTACTCTTTAAATATAGCACATGTTTTAAAACATGATTGTTTTTATTAACTCTCTTCAAAAAAAAAATCCAGAATCGCATTTTCTTGATTGCATATGCCTTTTTCCTTGCGCCATACTTCAAACAGCTGCGCGTTTGAAAACTCGAAGTCCGCTGCAAAAAATTAATTTGCGCAGATAGTGCGCAAAAGTGTGCATTTAGACAAACTGCCTTTAAATCAAAATTATTAGCTCTACGACATACACTTGGACGTACACTTGTCAACCCTAATTCTTTTTTTATATGTCTCCACGAACTTGAAATATATTTCCAAAAAATGTGCTTTGAGAACGTTTCCTACTTTTACAAAATATTAATAGAACACGCACAACAACAAAGTATTAGTACAACCAATACATAGTTAAAACCCGTGTGATTGCTATCCTTTTGAAATTTTACAAAAAGAATATTTCGCGTTTGAATAGTGGCATTTTGAAAATAGGCTGAAAAAATATTGCAATCTTAAAGCAAGTGCTTTTCTACAGCAACAGCTGACTTTAACAGCTGTTAGACTTAACAGTGCTATGTTATATAACACTTTTGGTATTGGACTTTACAGTTTGAAGTTTTCTTAATATGTTACCAAAAAAAAAAAACCAATTTTAATACTTTGAGAAAATGACTAAATACCCGAAAAATGGGAATTTTCCCCATAGTGCGATGGCGCAATTTCAAAAACGTCTAAGTCAGTCGGGAAATATTTGTATTGCATAAATACATTTATTAGCTGTTTGGGACTTGTTTTCATTTCAAAAAGCAAAAAGTTTAAACAAAAATTATTAAGTCGGTAGGTATCGATATTAGCACAAAAATTAAACGGCGGCGTCTTTCGGAGACAGGACTTAACTGTCGTGGGCCAGGCCAGACAAAAGTACCACTTTTGGCACTAAAAATAATCCAGAAAAAGCTCCAATTGGATAGTATGACGAATAATCTCCGGAACGTCGGTGAACACTTTTAAATTGAGTGCCCAAAACAAACGGTGTGGCAAGGAGGCAGCAGGATGACCTGGGGATATAGTAAATATCAATGGTGGGTGAATTAAAAATAAAATTTAAAAAAGTGTGGTGTAACGAAATAAATATCGAAACATTCTGAAACTTAGTAGATACGAAGCTTTCGCTTAGAAAACTAGTTCTAAAACACACAGGATGTTAAAAAAAGTATTACTCTAGTATCTAGAGTCTAGTTCCTTATATACTGTTCAATATTCATAGAATCAAACTTAAAAGCAAAACAATTTTATTTTCTGATATATAAATATAAGAGTAAATATAAAAATTGTATTGATTTAAGCATTCTATTGAAAACAAGGACATTTGGGTTAATTTTTTTTGTGTATTCCTCTTGCTTTTTATGTTGTTCACTTGGTTTAAGAAGCTTATCATAGCAAACATTCTAACATACCAAAATTGTATAAAACAAAAAAAAAAAACTTATTTTTAAGTGTCCGGATTTCTTTGTCCGCTACTGTACGTACATATGTACATATGTGTCAATGAGTTGAAGAAAGTGCTGAATAATATTCCCGGATATTGAACTGGTCGTTTATCCTAGCCTTAAGCCTGACAGGCTTCAAATACTTCCATATTAGCGTTGAATTGGAAGGCTATTGGCTAACTGAGGGCACTTTCAAAACATAAATATTTAGAACACTGTAGGGCTTAAATACAACCAAACTAAAACGGAGCTCATCTTTCTTGCAGTGATCGGAACTTCCTCGATATACCTTTACTTCAAATAGCCGCAGGGACTCCAGCACAGTCCCGACCACTGACTCGTCAGGACTTCGCCTGCCTCGACTCCAGTGAGGCGCAATCGGACGATAGTCATCTGACCCGCGATTCCGTAACGCGCGAGTCCCAGAACGATGAACTCTCCTCATCCACTCTTGAAAAACTAGACGTTAGCACGCTTCCATTGCCCGCTATACCGAAGCGCCGTCGCCCCCGCTCCCGCGCCAGTCCCTCAAAGAATTTGCAGCATCGGCAGCGCCATGAAGCCGTCGAAAATGCTAATGCAGTCGACACTTCGCCAGCATCATCACAACAGCAACATCTTAAGCCAAGGCAGCGCGCCTATACTCCAGACATACAAAAGTCAGAGATAAGCACGCCAAAAAACAACGCAGCCAATCAAAAGCCGCAGCAACACCTCTCCGCTTTCCAGCAGTACGTCGTCAAGCGACGGGAAAGTCTTGAGGCATCGAACCGCAGCTTCAACGAGAAACTGGAGGCCCGTAGAATGCATGGTGCAAACAGCGGAGTTCCCACTTATTTGTTTGGGGAGCACTTTCAGGCAGGGGGTGTCGGCGGTCCTGGCTCTGGGCGCAAGTCTCTCTCGCCCGCCACCAACAAGGAGGAAATCTATCTGAACAAGTCTGGCTGGGTACAGGTAAACACAAAACGCGGGGGCTTCAAAGAGGACAGTTTTGGCGGCTATCGACGTCAGCAGAATGGTGGCACGGCCTCTATCCTGCAGGACAATGGAAGAAGTCGAGCTGCCGAACGCTATTCCCTTATAAATCAGCACCAACAGCAACAATCAAACTTTAGCATCGCAGAGCCAAAGTTCGTTGGCTCCAAAGTTGAAGAGCTGATACAGCGAAACGAGGCGCGGCTTGGTGGATTCTCCTCCCGTGATCCTGCACTGCGCCCGGGCTACCGAATTATAGACCCCCAACTAGCAAGCATCCTCAATGATCGTCCGGGCTTCCTGCCTGTCAAGAGCCCAAACGACTTGGACTCGCCTATCACTCCCATTCTGTCGCCGCCTCCCGCTTTCCAGGACAACAGCCGAACACCGCGTCAGGTGGACCGCCGCAAGTCAAGTCGCCAGCAAGCTCCCCTCCCACTGCCGATGCAGCTGCAGTCTGAAGCCCAGCAAAGTCCACAGCATCTGGCCAATGGAACCGTCAAGGGTATGGTCTTTTCCCGAAGCTTTGAGTATGACGCGCGACGACCCACGCCCATCAACAGCTATGTGGAAACGTTCTCTCGAAGCTTTGATGGAAATCTTTCGGAGCGTCCGCTGCAGTTGGGCATGCCTTTGGTAGGACAGCGCGAACGATCCCCGAATTTCAGCACACTGACCGGAAACTCGCCCAACTATTTAACGAAGCGAGAGAGTGGAGGCGGCAGCAGTGGCTCCCTCCGCAGTCGGGACAGCTCGCCAAAGTTTCTGAGTCCACAAACGACCACTGCCTATCTGAACGCGTCGGTAAAGGAGGCGCCACCGGCCTACAACATGTCTGGGGGCGGGGGCCAACAGGCCAAATACTCTCCGCGCTCGCGTCTCGAACAGACCTCTGATAGATCCAAAATCCATGCCCTGGGTCGCTCGCGCAAGTCCCAGTTTAACCGCATGGGAAGCGCAGGACCTCCTGCAGCGCCACCGTCCTCCCTAGGCATGGGAGTTTCGCGCTTTCGCAGCTTTGACACAACAAAAAGCCAGCGCCTCAACTCATGCGACAGTGGTGCGCGATCAGGTGAGTACTTTGCAAATCTACTTATTCAAAATGAAACATCAAATTACATTAATTACATTTTACTCAAAAAACCCTGATGTGCTCCCGTCTTGACGATTGCCAGATCTGTCTAACGATGAACTGGACAACGAGGATGGGTTTTTGAGCGAGTTCCTATCGGACGGAAGCCAGAAGTTCCAGAAACTGTGTTCGAGCAGCGTTAGTATCTCGCCCTTCAAGATGCAGCGCCAGCGCTCCCTAACGCCAGAACGTAATGAGTCCCACAGCTCATCCAGCAGCCTGCGTAAACAGCGATCACTAACACCAGAATCGCGATCCCTGACACCCGAGGAGCGCCGAAAAAAGGGGTCCCAGCATTCCCTATTGGGCTCACGTCAGAACTCCGGGACCAGGAGCAACACGTTAGAGGCGCGACCGCGTCACGGGGATAAGACGCCGCCCAACATCTCACGCAGCTCTTCCAGCTCCAGCTACAGTGGCGGAGAGCCCTGTTCCATTCCGGTATCTGCATCTGGTCCAACCAACCACCGTCGTGCTATGGCTGCTGCCCACAGTGCAGCCAAGCAAGCGGAGCAAGAGCACCGCATTAGACGGTCGAGGTAAGTGAAGAAGGGAAGCAAAGTTGTTAGGTTTGTTCATACGAGACATGGTACCCGATTGAGTTTAGTTGATTATGTACCTGTTTCTACTTATATATCTATTACAAAATTAGTTTTGTTCAAAAATGAGTATTCTTTTCTGATCTTTGATCATCTGTTTTTATACCCGTAGTCAAAAAGAGTTAAGGGGTATATTACATTTGTGGTAAAAGTGGATGTGTGCAACGCAGAGAAGGAAACGTTTCCGACCCCACAAGACCGAGTCGATATAGCCATGCCCGTCTGTCCGTCCGTCTGTCCGTCTTTATGAGCGCCTAGATCTCAGAGACTATAAGAGCTAGAGCAACCAAATTTTGTTTCCAGACTCATGAGATATTACACTGCTACAAGTTGCTTCAGTTGCTGGCTATAGCGACTCGGCTATTGATGAGATCAAGAATATACATTCTTTATGGGGTCGGGAACGTTTCCTTCCCTGCATTACACACATCCACTTTTACCACAAATCTAATATACCCCTTAACTCTTTTTGAGTACGCGTATAATAAAATATCGATCTTCATATGTCAGGTGTGCATTTGGATTTAGAGCTGGAGAACCGACGCATTCAAAAAAAGGAAGTTAGGCTTAAAATAATAAGTATCTATAACAAATGAAGTTACTTAATGAATCATGTCCTGCTTTATGAAGTACATCCGGACCATCTGCTGATTTTCGTGATATTGACGTAACGCCCAACCTATCCTTGCAGATCCTTGCAACTGAGCGAGCGCTCCCCGAATCGAGCGCATAAATCAATCGTCAATGTAGGTATATCAGCCAAGCAGTCCCAGCAGCAGCCACAACAGACGCCAGCGGCCTCCTATCGCTCCTCTTCGAATAGTCTCCATCAGCCACCGCGACAAACAGGCAGCCCTCAGAGCTATGGAACGCGGCTCTGCGATCATGAGTTCACTTACGAAATGCTCCGTAAATCGCCCATCATGAACTTCCGCCGCGGAGACAGCAGTGACTATGAGTTGCCTGTCCTGCTCCGAAACAGGGAAACTATTAACTCTGGTGGCAACAGTGAGCTAAATTTCATGAGCAACGAGACGCGGATCTACGAGCACCCGACGACGGTTCTGAAACCGCAGCGGTCCCTCCGCCAAAGCCCAGCATCGCGGGATGACATACCTCTGGAGGTGGCAGTAGGCGTGGGGGGCGACTATATTTATCGACAGGCTCCCTCCCAGCCGCAAAGCAGCAGGTACTAAAATGTCCCAAGGATGACGCATCAACATCCATAATACTAGCAACAAACCCCGCTAACTCCTTTTATACCAACTTTCAAAGTAAGAAGCACCAAGGCCGAACCTACTGGCCCAAACGACGTACAATATCACTAAAGTATTAGCCGCTCCAGAAAAAGTGCCCGTGCGTGTTTAAAAGACTGCTTGTGCTTACTAACTGATCTCCGTACGAGTACTAACTGAATTTATCTATTTTGGTGGTGGCAGCCTCTATACTAAGACTATCGGAGCATGCACACAACTACACATACTAACATTAAAAGAGTAAATAAAGAGGGGGCATGGAATATAGCGAACATTTAATGTGCATTCAATCATGAGATCATTCGCATTAAGCCGGAATGAGGGAAACAGCCCCGTTGTAGTATCATAAGGAAGGACCAAAACTAGCAATGGCTAGAATCGGATGAATTTACTCTGCGTAACCATGTTACATGTTTTCTAGCGCCACCTCCCAGTCTCTTACATCAACGACTACCAAGAGCTGTAGCAAAACTCTGAACACAGGCGACTATTGGCCACGGTGCGGAGCTTGTCAAGAAAAAGCCGCGCCCGGAGCAATCCAAAGACAGTATTCTCTGTCAGTGGTTACGAAAGTGGACCAAGAGCCCGAATTCCGGCCCCACGTCACAACAGTGGCCGTTAATGACAATATCACCAACGTGGAAGCGAAGGCGGAAAAGCTCCCGCTTCCGCAATGGACTTTCTTGTGCAGCGGAGTATCCAACTGCCGTCCAAAGGAGCAGACAACGATGACCACCAATGCCAGTGAGCGCCGACAACTGATGGCTGTTGTAAGACCGCGTGTCGTTCCTTTGGCTCCGACATCACTCGTCCTGATGGGTACAGGCGACGTTTACGTTGCAAAAGCTGCGGAAGGCGAGAACAAATCCTGTCCACAGCTGCTGGCGGAAGTGGAGATTGGTCTAAGGTGAGTTTTTTCCTTTTAATTTCATAAGTGTCAGGTTGGAATACGTTTTCCCGCTCTTCTAATGGCCTGAACTGGCCAAGCCATTAGCGGATGACATGACGGGATCAAAATTTGTGTCAAAGTGTCATTAAAAATTACAGATAAAAATAAATAAGAGTGTCGACAGCGTAAAGCGATTGGATACTGTCAATAATAGATAACGGTCTTCAATGCAATATTTCCCCTTCCAGCAGCTCCCAGGGCAAGCAGGATGAATTCAACGACGTGAACAACAATTGTCGTAGGAGGAAGCGCAGTTCATCTCTGCCACGCCTAAAACCTAGAAGATATACGGAAACAGTAGAAAGGTAAGATTCCTGACAGTCTCAAGGGGAATGGAAATAATAATTGATGTTAAATCGTTGAAGCTTATGATGTTTTCAGTGCGGTACTTGTTGTTAGAAGTAGAAAACAGTTTGTCACATTCCACCAGAGTGTAAATTCGCAAATTTTTTTTTGTTTGGGAAAACATTTTTTCTCTTCCTTCAATATGCCGACAGGAAGGTAAATAGGCCGATCAAAGTCTATGCCTCAATAGACAAAACAAATAAAGAGGTAGTGGAGCCGTTCCCCATGCTGTGATGCCGAGTTCACTGACCTAGTGGAGACACATATTTGAGCGTCATCCTTAGTCAACGCCTACACCCGCCTCTTTAGCTTCTGCTTACATCGCGTCCTTTCACAATGTGCCCATACATAAATAAGCAATGAAGTAGGGTTGGTGCTTTCGCCCTACTGGCCACTGTTGTAAAACCGACGGTTAGTATTGACAGACATAGCTTTTGTCACAAAATTTGTAAATTAGCCGGCAGCGCGACGGAAACATTAAGAAAGCCAAAGCGTATTGAAATGTTAACAATTCGAAAAGCCTACTTGTGAGGAATTAATAATTATTAATACACCACTTTTAATTTATGAACCAGACCGAATTTTTCTGATAGATTTGGGGCTTAAAAAATTGTTAATGAATGTTGGTCTTTTTATACACGTACTCGAAGTGAATGTGTGCAACTCATAGAAGGATACATTTTCGACCGCATACAGTACATATATGTATATATGTATGTTCTTGATCAGCATCAATATGTCTCTGTGTCTATGTCTGTCTGTCTGCCTGTCCATCTGTCTGTCCGTCTTGTTTGACGCATAGTTCTCAGAGACTATAAGAGCTGAAGCAAACAAATTTTATTTACAGACTCATGTGATATCAGCCTGAATCAAGTTTGTTGCCCACGCAAACGACGAAACTCTGTGGCATCCACAATTTAGAAGATATGAGAACACGGAAACGCAGTATCATAGAGAAAAAAATCTCGTTCTCTCGCTCTCTCTTGCTAGCTGAGGAGATGTAAAATCTACATTGTAGATGTACTTGGCAGACGTCGCAAAAAAATGTAAACTTATAAAATATTTTAAAATTCCTCATAAATCATAAGCTGTTACATACATATATATATGTAGGTACATATGTATATACTAACTGAATACGGACATAACGTTTATGGGCGTTTTTTTTAGTGGTATTTTTTGTTTTTTTTAGAGGTAGTGCTTTTCTGACCGAAAAAAAGCCTTATCCATTAAATAAATGTAAAATCAAAATAAGCTTGGTTCGTTGAGAACAAATAAAGTTTGATTTTGTTGCATAGTGTAATTAAGCTGCTAGTGGTACCTAATTAAGCCCCTCTGCGGACACTAGTCCATTGCCCCTAATGGCTGCTATATATTTACATATGTATGTATGTATGTCAATACTTTTCCGCTTATCTTATGGTATTTAGCGAAACTTTATTCAATGTGTGCCTATACGTATATACATATGTATGTTTATTATTCATTTACATACATACAATACCTTGTTTGCGGCCAATTGTGAAATTATATCTTTTTAAATACCACACTCATGGGCGCGATCATTTTTGCTTCAATACTATCGATAGCAGTATCGAAAATTTGAGGGAAAATTTATATGTTGCACAACATCAGCTTCGAAACATGTATTTTTAGCATTTATGCTCCATTTTGTGTGAGATGAGCATTTTTGCCTCCATCAGCGAAGAAAGAGAGAGATGAAACTCAAAAATGAGTCTCGTAAATCTTCTTTCCAGCAACATCCGATTTCTAGCCACATGTGGCCGAGCACATTTTTAAGCACAAGCAACATGGCGCTAGTCACTCATTTATTCGTCAAAAAATGAGCTCCAATTGGATTTATATAATTCCAATACCGTTGTGCACAATTGGGAAAAATCCCATACCGTTTGTGCACAATTGGGAAATATCGAATTGGAAATTTCATTTTCAATAGGAGAACATTATTATAACATTATTAATTTAGCCCGAAGACATGCCGAAACTATATTCAAATATTAGAGCAAAAAACCCCATGCAACACAGTCCAGCAGAAACGCAACTCGTGAACGTAAACAGCAGAAAAAAAATTTCGAATTCTTAAATGAAACATCCATATACATACATCAACATACATAAGTATATATATATATAAGTAAAAATCCTTTCCCTATTACAATACCAAACCAGCACCTCAATATTTCCCGAACTTGCAACAGAGCGTGCGCAATGCAACATGCAACCAATGAATCGAAAATGCCGTCAGCTGTTTAGCATGTCCGAAAATTATCTTTTAAAATACTACATATAGTGCTATTTCAGGGCCGGGCCCCGTGTGAGCATTAATATTATTGAAATCTGTGCAATTCGTGAAACTCCCTGCCCCGGTTACCGGCCTTCAGCTGTAGAAGCTTGTGTGTGTTTATATGTGTACATACTGTAAATATGAGCCGCCTGTCGTTCCTAGTGACGTTTTGGCAAAGGTTATAAAAAGCAACGCAAATAGCGCATCCAATCAAGAACTATACGCGAAAATCAATAACACCTAACCGAAAAAAGTGTATTACGCAAAAGCTGTAGCAGCACACAAGCGAAATGTCTACAACAGCAATAAGTATGCCACCAGCAGTGGCGGGGGGAGCTGCATCGCAGCTGCAACAAGAACAAACGCAAGGATGTGACGTCGAAGCCAATGTCGAGGGCGACAATTTTCTGGTTGTGTGCATGGTGGGCGTTGGTGATGATAGGCACGCCGAGAACGGTGGCATCGTGGGAACAGATAGTGGGCGTGCCTCGGCAAATGAATTTGATGACGTTGCTGAGGAACCTGCCAGTGCCACAGAGCAATTAAAGGAATTCACAGAAGCTATGTCTGGCAGCAATGTACGCGAGGGCGAGGATCTCTATGCTAGCAGCGGATCCCATACAAAATGGTACTTAAAGCCCGCGCATTCCATCAGCATAATACCAACTCCAAAGGAATGTAACGAAAAGGGGACGGCGAGGACAACTGGCAGCCGTGAGGGGGGCGAAGCTTCTTCTCTGGCGACGAACGAAACCGCTATGTAAGTATTTGGCGAATTTTTGTAAAAACGCACAAATAACTGCGAAATCAGGATCATTTGCACACGAATGAAGTGTCGTGCTTCATCTTTACATTGCTCTGTTATTGCCTCTGTATTGTGGTCGCCGCTGCAGCCGTTAATAAATTAAGGTTAAACAGGAGAATATTTTGCAAAAATTTTGCTGTTCACGATATTTTAGCACTAAAAACACCACTGGCAGGTTCTTCAGTCAGACCCGGGTCGCATACCAAACTCTTGAATGTGAACACTGCCGTTTTGCAACACTGTCTTCTGGGCGAAACAGCTCATTTGTAAAACATAAAACCTGGCCTTTAAAATATAAAACTAAATTAAATAAATATGCATTGTAGAAATAGAAGGAGTGCCACACACACTGTGTGGGCACACATATCTAACTTGAACAGGTGCAATATTAAATAACAGTTGCAAAAGTTTCGTGATGCCCACATAACCCACATAATAATACGGAGGCGTACCCTTGAGCAGGTATCACTCATTTCGCGGACCATTGGTCAAGTATTCGTTCCGAATCTTGCTTGTTGATTTGTTTTATGATTCCCCTCTGTGCTCTGTTTACCGATTAAATCAGCTTTGCCTAATTTCCCATTGACCTGTTGGTGCTGTTGTTTGTTCCTGTACATGTGCTTAGCTTTAGGCCTTGTCTTAGTATTTTCCTCTCGTTCAGCCTGCGCCTCCCTTTCCCTCAGTTGGATTATTTTCCTCTTTTTCCTGTCGAGCTTGAGGACTCTTATAATTGCCTTGGGATCGTTTTTATGAGTAAGCGCTTGTCACAAAGTTCCTGGAATGCTATGGCTTATTTTTAGACGTGTATGAAAAAAGGGGCGCTGTTTGTTTATGTGATTGCTCTTTTTATCCAATTTTACCGCAGCCTGAATATATCATACATTGTAAATCCCATTGTGGAACCACGAACCAAGGCGGCACAGTCAGTCTTCAGTTAAATAGGTTATATATTTTGTTACCCCATATCAAACCGGACAAAAACCACATACATATATTGCCGTTGCTGCAGCCAGTCGCAGATGCCACTGTCTGAACGGCATTCGAGGCAGAGTTTCAGAATCCCCATTTATGGACAACAGCTGTCGGATCGGTCAGTTTCAGTTTTACCTACACGAGGATTGCAACGCTCCATAGATAGTACGTTAAAATCTACGTTGAAATGACATTACTCGCAAGTAATGTACTTTGTACAGATCGAACTAATTACTTCGTTCAGTTATAAATTATAAGAGATTGTACTATGAATTAATTTAGTATAATGTTTACATTTCTAGATAATCAAGTTATTTTCGCACTGTGCTTAGGCTATTGGACTACTAGTACTTAACCTGACGGTGCCTTGTTCGAGAGTTCGAGAAATTTTAATGATGACTACTAAACTGATCACCGTTGGTGTGCTGCCTTATCAGCCGCACAGTGTACAGCCAGTTCTGTGAAGCTACGTGAATCTATTGTATGTTGTCGAATCGTATCCACGAGATAAATGCCTTTTCTCCCATACAAGAAACAACATAGACAACAAATATAGGCTTGAGCTTTGTTACGAAATAATATCGACAAGAATTTCGGAGCACATCCAATCATTACTACAACACTTTCAAAACATACCATTGATTAAAGTTAGTATCCGTGGTTTCACTTGTATTTTTATTCTGCCAAGTCTTAATACATTCCCTATTTTTATCCCAGTTAGTTTTTTTTTGTTTAGTGAAATTGGTTTTTTTTTATTAGAGAACAGATATAAAACATATTTATTGTACATATGTATGTTATTTAAGGAGCACATGTTTCATAATATGTTTTTAGCGTTTGTTTACCATAGTGCTGTCACTTCGATGGTTTCATTTCAT